CCTGATCTGCCGGCAAGCAGTCAGTCATTGGAAGGACAACCAACAGCTCCAGGAAGAGGAAGAAAAAGCTTGTCATTCCCATTGTCCTGAAACAAATCGCACATTGTCGTTATCACTGAGGGTGGTTCCCCTGTTTACCACAGACCCACTTCTCTGCTTGGTCCCAGATTTTGCAAATGGGCAGGAGAAAACCCTCCCCTGCCTTCCCAGAAGCTCAGAACCGGGAAGAAAAGGCAGCAGTGGAAGCTGAACAGGTGTTCACAAAGTCATGTTACCCCCATGTGTTTTTTTTACACAATGCACTGACCAACAACTGAAACGCATGAAAGAATGATGATTCAACAATAACTCCAAAATCCTATTCTCCACCTCCCCCATGCGCCCCTCAAGCACCCTCAATCATGACATCTAACGCCAAGTCCAAAGAGGTCATGGACTTCCTTACCTCTAAAATTGACAACATCCACCGACAGCTTCATCCTTCTGCCCCGTGTCGCCTACCACCACACCCAGTCCGTCTTCCACACCCACCCCAACCTCAGCTCCTACCATGACCCCATCCTACATTCATTTGCCCCCATTTCCTTCCTCTCTCTCATCCACCATCATCACAATGAAACCCACCATCTGCTTGTCTCGATCCCCTCCCCATCCAACTGCTGATCACCCAGCTCGCCCTCCTCTGCCTGCTGCTGGCAGACACTGTTAACCAGTCTCTCTTCTCAGGATCAGTCCCACTCCCCCTCAAAACTGCGGTGATCAGCCCTTCCTTAAAAAAAACTACCCTTGATTCCTCCAACCTAGGCCAGTAGCGCCCTACCTCAAACCTGCCCTTCCTGGCTAAAGCTCTGGAACCCGTTGTTGCCAACCAACTTTGCGCACACCTCTCCCTCCACACCCTACTCAAATCCCTCCAGTCCAGTTTCTGCCCTGCCCACAGTATAGAGACAGCGCTCATGAAGGTCACAAATTATACCCTCTATTTATGACCAGGGCTCCCTCTGCCTACATCCAGTACCTGACCAGCACCACTTTCTTCCACCTCCCCCACATTGCCCGGCTCCGACAATACCTCACCCCAAAAGCTGCCGAAAGCCTTGTCCATTAATCTTTCACCTCTCGGCTGGACTACTCTAACACCCTCCTCGCCAGTCTCCCCTCCTCCACGATTCACAAAATTCAGCTCATTCAAAAATCCGCTGCCCACATTCTCACCCGCACCAAACTCCGCACCCCGGTTACTCCAGTCCTTACCAAACTCCACTGACACTCACAGAGCGGATTGACTTCAAAATCTTCACTCTAGTGTTTAAATCCCTCCATTCCTTTGCACCCCCCTATCTCCCTAACCTCCTCTCTCCCCACAGCAGTACCCGCTACCTCCGCTCTACTGGGTCCGGCTTCCTCCGCGTCCCCTGAATCCTCCGCTCCACCATCGGCAGCTGTGACTTCAACCACTACGCCCCAAAACTTTGGAACTCCCTCCCTCAACCCCTTTACCTCGCCCCCTCCTTCCCCATCATCAGGTTGTGCCTAAAGACCTTCCTCTTCAACCGTGCCTACGGTCACCTTCCCCCTCCCCCTGGCTCGGCCTCGGGCTCTGCCATTGTTAAGCGCTCTGAGACACTGCCCAGCGTGGAGGGCGCTATATAAATACAAGTTGTTGTTATTAATTGAATTTAGAAGTACTTCATTGTACAAGAGTTTAACTGTATTTGGACGTCCAGAGGATCAGTGTGTATGGCCGTTATCATTTTCATGGCAAATAATGATCTGTTCGACATGTTGGCCTAATGTATCACTGACGGCTTGTTTCAGCTCCTCCGTGGTCTCATATGACTGCTTTATAATAAGGGGTAACAGGACTTTGTGGACACCCTGTACAGTTTGGTTTTAGTGTCCTGACCTGCGCAGGAATGAGCCACGGTTTCTGCACCCGATTCCCACACAGTGACGCCTCTGAAACCGCGGCCCCATGTGTTTCTAGATGCTGGTAAGAACCACACAGGATGTGTAACTTCACAACATCATAAGAGATCGGATGAAGAAAGCCCTTTGGCCTATCTAATCTCATCCCTCCAGAACTCCCATCCCATCACAGCATCAAGCTTGTTTCTTAAATGAGTCCCAGTGTCCTGGCCTCAACCCCCCCTTCCTGGTAACCTGTTCCAGTCGTTAATTACCCTTTGGGTAAAGAAAACCTTCCTGGTGCCCTTCCTGAAATTTCCTTTTGCAACCCTGAACCTGTGTCCTCATTCCGTGGCCTTGGCTTATCTGAAAGTGAAACTTTTAAGTCCTGGAATTATTACATATTTGTAAAGATTCTAGCTTTTATGTAAATTGTATCAGTGGACTGTGTGTGCGTGTGTTTGGCGTGTGCGATTGTTTGGCGTGTGCGTTTGTTTGGCTTGTGCGTCTGTTTGGTGTATGCGTCTGTTTGGCGTGTACGTTTTTGTTTGGCGTGTGCGTTTTTGTTTGACGTGTGAGTTTTTGTTTGGCGTGTGCGTCTGTTTGGCGTGTGAGTTTGTTTGGCGTGTTGAGTTTTTGTTTGGCGTGTGCGTCTGTTTGGCGTGTGAGTTTTTGTTTGACGTGTGAGTTTTTGTTTGGCGTGTGCGTCTGTTTGGCGTGTGCGTCTGTTTGGCGTGTGAGTCTGTTTGGCGTGTGCGTCTGTTTGGCGTGTGCGTCTGTTTGGCGTGTGCGTTTCTTACTGTGACTCATACCACAAAGAGCCAGAGCTCTTCTCTCGTCTCCCTTTGTTGCTCTATCTATCCTCCCTGCCTCTCCCCTATCTCCCTGTCTCCCTCTCTGTCTCTACCCATCACTGTTTTTCCCCTTTCTTTGAATCTCGCTAAACATCTCGGTGGAAGGTAAGTGAAGTCTTCGGGGTGGGCGCACGACGTCTCCCCAGACCTGAGGTGATATGGTTGGCAACAGAATATCGGAATAGAGCCAGACCTCTCTGGCGGTCTCTAGTCCGGTTCCTGAGCCCGGGGGGTCCACAGTATTCCAGGGCACTGCTGATCAGACAGCTCGGCCCACCCTGGCTCAACAGCAGGACCTGGAAAGGCAGACCAGCCACCGGGCAGGGAGTCGTCCCACCCAGCTCTTGTTAACGCTGCAAAGCCAAAGCCCTGGTTAGACTCCAGCAGTTACCCTGACCGACAAAAAATGGTTTGGAAGTTGTGAATTTGTCAGCACTTACCTGAGGCAATGTTCCGCGCTGGACTTTGAACGTCCCAGAGCTAATATCTTCAAAGTGCTGCTTTTCCGACCAGTTTTCCTGACTGTTAGCCTGCTCTCTCTGCTCCGACTGAGCTGCACAAAGTACTGCACGTGAAAGTAAGTGTGTAGAGGGTGGGCAGGCAGGCACTCTGTTACTTTGGTCCGACAGCCTTTTCCTTTGGTGTACGTACTGGCTTGCTCCGTCAGAGGATGTGGAATGTAACTTCTTTAGTAGCAGTAGCGGAATGTCTGAGATATGTAGCAGCCGTCAGACGATGTAAATAACCAACCCGAAAGATAAATTTCCCCCATCTTCCCCATTCTGGCCAAGCTCCTCCACTGACTCTTTGTTGCAGAATAGTTTGAGTTCAAGATCCTCGCTCTCGCTTTCAAATCACTTCAGGTCCTTGCACCTTTCTCTTTGATCTGCTCACACCTCACTCCACCACCCGCTGCCTTTGCTCAGCTGGCTCAGGTTTTCTGCACGTCTCTTGACCCCTTCGCTCCACCATTGGCTGCCGTGCTTTCAACTACTACGCTCCAAATCTCCGTGACTCCCTGCCTCAATCCCTCCTCTTTGCCTGTCTTCAAATCACACCTAAAGACTTTACTATTTGACCGTGCCTTTGGTCATCTCCTCTTTCTTTCCAGCTCAGGGTCAAACCACACTGCTGTTAAAGTGCTCCGAGACACTACCCGTGTGAACAACAACTTGCATTTAGTGTTCTTCATGTGGGTGTAGCGTCTCAGGGCAGTTATGGTGCTATATAAATGCAAGGTCTTGTAAAATTGCTGTAAATTGCAGGTGTTCAGAGATGAACAGCACATTGACCTAATCATAGCACAGAAAACTCCCAGATTATTCTGTGGTGAAATGAGGCAGCCAAATTTGTGCACAGCAATGTCCACAAACAGCCAAGGAATGAGTGACCAATTTAATTTGGGCGATTGTGAGCCATGACACCGGGAGAAACGTTCATGTCTTTTCAAAGTGCCGTGGGATCTTTAACATCTACATGAACAGGCACAGACAGGACCTCAGTTTAACATCTCCCTAGAGAGGTTCAAGCATTAAAGAGAGGATCTGTAAATCACTGATATGGTAAGCAGATGAGTTTGGAATCTTTGTTCGAGGCTTTCCAGCAGGAATGATAGTGGGAGTTGGGGAACTTTGGAAATTCCAGTGCCACTGATGAAGATTAGCCATGGCAGTGATGAAGTGTTTGCGTAGCAGCTTGTACCAACTGGGGCTGGGTCTAGAGGGCACATTCCAACCAAGTAATGGGGCCCGAGGATGAGAGGCTCAACCACGCTGTTAGTTAGCAAAGTCACAGAGGCTTCACCCTGACGTCTGTTAAACTAGATTAGGTGGTGGGATTATATTCAGTGCAAGTGTTTAACATTTTGGGGGGGAGCCACTTTTTGGAATCATTCCTTAAAATCCCTGCACATTATCCTTTATCTTTCCAGTCCTCAGACTTCATGGACCAGGTACTGACCACAATATTTACCGTGAAAATGATGGAGCACACTCACACCGATCCTCTGGACGTCCAAATACTTGTACTGAATACCATTAAGTACTTCTAAAAACAATTATCATTATTCTTCCACATGTTTCAGTTGTTGGTCAGTGATCTGTTTAAAAAAAAGCATGGGGGTAACATATCTTTCTGGACATTGTGTAGAATGTGAAATAGTGAGAGCAGAGCGGTAAGCGGTGATGTCACACCAGGGAGTTGAATATTTGAAACCCGCGTTTACTTTGTGTTTTGCAGTTAGACGGGTTTATTGCACGGAACTGGGCCAACCAGAAGTCTGCTTTGGGGAGCGCTTTGGATCCGTTGGCAGATAAAATCCTAATCAGCTTTCTGTACATCAGCCTGACGTGTGCGGACCTCATTCCAGGTAATAGTCTTGTTGTTATTTTGGTTCCTGTCGCAGCACGCAGGGCTTAGAATCAGTGCCCCAAGCTTTCTGTGTGCAGCATCTCCAGAGCTCCAGGGTTTCATGTTGCTTCTGGCATCATGTGGCAAGCAGCACTGTGCTACATTAGCCCAACACGAGGCCAGCGGACCTGCGATGTGTAGAGGATTATATTGAGACAGGTTTCTTTGCACTGAAAATGTCCCTGCATGTTTCTCTTTCTCTTTCCCTTTAATCTGCGTATCTTAATTGTGTTTCTATTTTTCCAGGTCCACTCACGGCAATGATCCTGTTTAGAGATGCTGTTTTGATCGCAGCTGTTTTCTATGTTAGATACCAAACAGTCCCACCACCAGTAAGTATCAGGACTAACAACAACAAATTACACATATATAGCACCTTTTACATCTGGAGGATGTCCCAAGGCGCTTGACAATGAGGAGTTTGCATCCAAGCTGGTGGTTGGGATTAGAGAGGGGTGGAGGATAAGGAGGGTGCAAGAGGGAAGATGACTAAAAGCACGCTCAAAAATGAAGGTCTTAAGACTTGAAGGAGGCAAGGGAGGGTGATAGGTGGAGGGGCTCTGGGGTGGAGTTCCAGAGGGCGAGGGCAGAAAGACTGAAGGCCCAACCGCCAATATTGGAGCAGGCAGGGCGAGGGACATAGAGCAGCCCAATGCCTGTAGAGCGGAGCAAGCAGACAGGTTGGTGAAGCTTTAATAGACCGCAGAGGTTAAGAAGAGCAAGACTGTGGATGGCTTTAAAGGTGGACATGGACATTTCTCTGTGTCTGGAAAGGAATGTAAACTCTCCACGGAAGGACGCCCCCGCTTACCTAATTGCAGAGAGTATTCGGTATGGTTTGGCAAGAGCTTAGGAACCCCTGAGTGTGCGTTGGGTTACCTGTGGTTTTAGCTGGTTAGATTCCAACAGTTACTGCAACGCACACTCTAGGGTCCCCAAGCCTTGGCTCTTGCCAACCTGCCCCTAATACTTTCCAGAATTAGGTAAGAGGATGTGTCCATCCAGGAAGAGAGTGCACATTCCAACAATCTTATCTCTGGGATCTCTATGTGTAGCTACAGGCGCCGTGATAGATTTCAGTGGCTTTGAGTGTGACGCCACTGCTGTGTTTCTAACTTACTAAGACGCCATTTTTTGTCCATTTTTCCTAAATGCAAAGCGAACCCTCAGCAAGTATTTTAACCCGTGCTATGCCACTGCACAGTTAAAACCGACCTTCATTAGCAAGGTAAGACTTTCATTTTGCACATACAAATTGCTCTTAAAAAGAGACTGACACACACGCATTCAAACACTGAATGATATACACACACACCCGCCAGACAGACTCTCTCTCTCAGATACCACCACACACACACATTCAAATTGACTGATACACACACATCAAACTCAGACTCTCTCTCTCACACACACACACCCACACCCACACACACAGACTGACATGCACAGACTGATGCACACACACACACTTTCGAATACATTACAAAATGACATTTGTGAAGTGCCGTTCACGTCGGGAGGTGACGTCCCAAGGCGCTGAACAGTCAGGGATTAGGACACGAGGGATTAGGACACCTCCGGTTGGGATCAGGGAGGGCATAGAAGGTAGGAGGGTGGCCGAAGGCATAGTCGAAGAGGAGGGTCTTGAGGCGTGCCTTGAAGGAGATAAGGGAGGGAGCGAGGCGAAGGGAATGTGAGATGGAGTTCCAGAGGGTGGGGGCAAAGAGGCTGAAGGCTGTGGTGGAGCGGGCCTGGTGGGGGACATGGAGCAGGCCAGAGCTTGCTGAGCTAAGGGATTAGCAGGTCGGAAAGGTAGGAGGGGGCAAGGCCATGGAGGGCCTTGAAGGTGAGAATGAGGATTTGGAATTCGATCACACACATCTTCTTTATGTTCCTACACAGACTCGAACATGATCCTACATGAGTCTGTGTATCAAGTATATAAACACTGACTGATTTTCTGCCCTGACCCACAGCGTTGGGTAGAATGGCACAGCTGAGATCAGATATCTGTAGCCTGGCATGTCCTGACCCATGTTTTCTTGATCCAAGTTCCTCTGCTCAGTTTGCAGATTGAGAGCAAAGCTTGTTTTTTTTTAAAAAAAGGGCTTTGGTTGTCTGAAAATCAACAGATGCCAAAATAATAATAATAATAATAATCCTTGCATTTGATATAGCGCTTTTCACGTCGGGAGGACGTCCAAAGCGCTTCACAGAACACACTGTAAAGTGAATTGACTGTATATTTGTGGGCGAACGCGGCAGCCAATTGCGCACAGCAATGTCCCACAAACAGTCGTAGATTGAAAATGACCAATTTATTATTGGTTTTTTGAGGGATTATTATTAGGCTCTGTGTGGAGTAAGGAAACTTGCCCAAGGTTTCGCTCGGCCTGGAATTGAACTCCGGTCTCTCACTTGCAAAGCGAGTGCTCTAACCACTGAGCTACAGGACTCCACGAGTTAATACTCTTCATTCCCAGCTTGTCTCACATGTATGTCATCCTACTTAAACAAACAGATAGAAGCTACAGCACTCAACAGGTCAATTTACCCAACCAGTCCCTCTCTCCTCATCCCTCCTTAACCACCCCCATACATCTCTTTGGGACAGGTAAACAGGGTTTCCTTGGAGCTGAACTGGCTTCAAGGTGATATGCCTGAAAATGAAGGGAATGTCGGAATTGAGCAAGCCCTCTGTAGCGGTCTATAGGTGGGCGGGGAGGCAGTATTCTAGGACACTGCTAATGACAAACAAGCCAGCCTTTAGGACTAGGAGGGGCAGACCAGTCACTGGGTCGAGGATTCTTCCCACTCAGCTCCTGTTAAGCCAAAGCCCTGAAGGGTAAGGTGATCCTAGACAGCCAAGCAGTGGGAAGCATTCAGTTACCTCAGAAATGCATTGATGTTTCTGGCAGTGAGTTCCACATTCTCACCTAATGACTCCTCCCCTTGTGTCAATCGTCTCATTTCCAGGGTGAAAACCCAAAAGTTAATATTCTTCATTCCCAGCTTGTTCCCTTTCCCAACGCTTATATCCTCCCATCCCTGGTCCTTTCTCCTTTGGCATGTCATCTCTTTGCAGTGAAAGGTATACGGGGCGAGTGGCCTCGCCTGTGTCCCACAATCAGTGAGGACTAGACATTAATAATAAAATTTGCATTTGATATAGCGTCTTATCACGTCAATGAAACGTCTCAAAGCGTTTCACAGGATATACTGTAAAGTTGATTGACTGCATTTTGTGGGCGAAACGTAGCAGCCAATTGCACACAGCAGTCGTAAATTGCGTGACTAAATATATTTTTTTGACCAATTTAATAATAATAATAATCCTTGCATTTGATATAGCGCTTTTCACGTCGGGAGGACGTCCCAAAGCGCTTCACAGAATATACTGTAACGTGAATTGACTGTATATTTGAGGGCGAACGCGGCAGCCAATTGCGCACAGCAATGTCCCACAAACAGTCGTAGGTTGAAAATGACCAATTTTATTATATTGTTTTTGGTTTTTTGGAGGGATTATTATTAGGCGTGTGGAGTAAGGAAACTTGCCCAAGGTTTCGCCCTGACCTGGAATTGAACTCAATATTACCCCTGGAAAGTGATCCACCGATCGACCAACATCCGGGATCCTACTTACTTCTAGGTAAACAGAGGCACGTGGAGTAAGGAAACTTGTCTAAGGTTCGGCCCTGCTTGGGAATTGAACCCGGGTTCTCTCACTTGCAAGGTGAGAGTGCACTAACCACTATGCAAGGGGATTAACGGTTGGTTCACCACAGGGCTGTCTTGTTACAGGTTAACACGGCAGTGCAGCTTGTCCTGGTGGCAGCGTCATTGGCAGCCCCAGTGTTTCACTATGTGGACAGCGCATTCCTTCAGACTCTGTGGTAAGTTTGAAACATGTTGCTCAGTTTCCTGAAGAAAGAAAATGTTTATTCCACAACTGTTACATCAGGAATTTGTGTTCGCAACAACTGCTTGCTCCACACAGACACTCTGCATAAAAAACAGTTTTATTAAAAAAAAGAAAGGATGCCTCACCTCCTCCCTTGTCTTCAAGGCCCGTCTCAAGACCTTCCTCTTCGACTGCACCTTCGGTCACCTTCCTACCCTCACCCTCACTGCCCCTCCACCTTTCCTGATTCCCATCCCCAGCTTGGTTCCAAATCCCTGACTATCCAGCGCCTTGATACGTCCTCCTGGAATGAAAGGCACTGTATAAATTGTTATTGTAATGGACTCCACCAAGAATCAGAAAGTTAAATCATTCATAACTTCAGGAAAGTCTTTAGTTACAGTTAACTCGGGGACCTTGGTGATGGTAGCGGTATCAAATGCAAGGATTCTTGTTATTTGCGGAATTTTCAGCCATGAGACCGGGGAGAAACTCCCTTCTCTTCAACGTCCCCCTGGATAGGCACCCGGGGCCTTAGGTTAACATCTCATCCGAAAAAACAGCACCTCCAACAACGCAGCTCACTCCAGCACTGCACTGGTGTGTCAGCCTAGACTGTGAACTCAAATTGGGCTTAGAACCGCAACCTTCTGACTTGGAAGGGAGAGGGCTACTGACTGAGCCAGGCGGACAGCTAAATTCTTTTATAGTGGTTTCAGATCTTTAACAGGATTGTTAGATTGCTTGTTTTACATTGGAGAAGTGCAACTGCTGACACAAGTTCCAATAAAGCCGCTCAGTGTAATGGTATTCTGAAAGAAGATGAAGAAATTGCTTATTCAACAACTGTTACATCAGGAATTCACGTTCGCAACAACTGCTCACTCCACACAGATACTCTGTATAAAAAACAATTTTATAAAAAAGGAAGGGTTGCCTCTCCCCTCCCTTGTCTTCTTCAGGGCCTGTCTCAAGACCCTCCTCTTCGACTGCACTTTCAGTAATATTTCACAGAATGTCACAGCTCACTCTTGCTAGTTCCTTTGCTGATGCGATATAAGAAGTCTAAAGTGCTTGCATGTCCTTGTAAATACTCTGAAGAGCTTTGAGACATCTCAAAGGCTTCTTGTCCCCTGTTTGCCCATCTTCAAATGGCATCTGAAGACTTTCCTCTTCGACCGTGCCTTTGGTCACCTCACCTACCTTTCCAGGTTGGCATCAAACCACATTGTTCAGTGCTTCGAGATGCTATTTGCAACAAGGCTGCTAAAAATTGCAAGTTGTTGTTTGATAAGGCACTACATCAACAACCAGAACAACAAATTACATTTATACAGCGCCTTTCACGTTGGAAGGAAGTCCCAAAGTGCTGGACAGTTAAGGGTTTACACCCGAGCTGGGGGTTGGAATCAAGAGAGTTGGAGAGTAGGTGGGGATAGGAGTGTGGCCAAAGGCGCTGTCAAAGAGGAAGGTCTTGAGAAGGTCCTTCAAGGAGGTAAGGGAGGATTCTGGGGTGCTGTTCCAGAGGGTGGGGGCAGAAAAGCTGAAAGCCCAACCGCTAATGGGGAATAAATAAGCAACATGAATAAGCAACTATATTATCCTCAGAATTAATTATTTTAAACTTCTCATTTCAGGTATATCACAGGTTTGACAACAGCGGCGTCTGCGTATAGCTACTACCTATACGGCAGAAATACTGTGCAAGTTTTGAAACGAGGGAAATAACAGGACATGTTTGTAACAAGTCTGTGGAGCTGAGGACACAGGGCTGAACATAGGAAAAACTGAACCTTGATTTAAATGATTGAAAAGACTTTGATCAGAATTATGTAGATACATGTGAACTTTCACCCTCAACCCCCGCCCGCCCCACCCCCCCACTCCCAAGATTTTAAGTTTAATAATAAAAAGGAAAAAAATCCTGCACTGATTACTTTTATCTTCATCTTATTAACTTGCATGTCAGGTGTATGATGCATGAAGAAACCAATCTGCTCTGAGCATGGTCGAGGGTGCTATGAACTTGATTAGTGACCTCACTAAGGTGTGCACACCCATCGTGGTGTGTTTGGTTCTCTCGAGGGTAAGTCTTTAATAAAAGTTAACATTTATTTGTTTTTTATTTTCACTTTGATACAGAGAGAGAAAGTAGACACACGTACAGATTTATTCAGACTTGATACACGCAGAAACCCTTACTTTAGAGTATCCAAACTAGACCACTAGCACGTGGAAATTCCAGTATATTGGGATGGATTGCGCACTCTTTCCCTGGAGGGACACATCCCTGCTTACCTAATTCTGAAGGTGCAGGCTGGCAAGAGCCAAGGCTTGGGGACCCCAGAGTGTGCGTTGGGGTACTGCGTATTACTCAAAGATCAATCTGGAGGCCAAAAATAACTCCAAAATCCTATTCTCCACCACCCACCACCTCCTCAGTGCGCCCCCTCCAGAACCCACAATCATTACATCAAATGCCAAGTGCAAAGAGGTCATGGACTTCCTTACATCTAAAATAGAAAAAATCCGCCTGGCAGCCTCATCCCCTGAACCGGAACCGCTACCAACCCCTACCATTACGCCTCCTTCACCCACACCCCCTCAGCTCCTACCACAGCCCCCATCCTTCATTCCTTTGCCCCCATCTCTCTAGTTTCCCTCTCTCCATCACCCTGATGAAACCCACCACCTGCTGCCTCGACTCCCCCCCCCACCCAGCTGCTGATCACCCAGCTCACCTTCCTGTGCCCACTGCTGGCAAACACCATTAATCAGTCCCTCTCCTCAGGATCAGTCCCACTCCCCCCTCAAAACCGCTGTCATCGGCCACCTCCTTAAAAAACCCAACCTCAACCCTTCCAACCTCATCTCAAACCTGCCCTTCCTTGCCAAAGCTCAGGAAGGCGTTGTTACCAGCCAACTTCTCGCACACCTCTCCCTCCACTCCCTACTCAAACCCCTCCAGTCGGGCTTACAGAGTAAGTGCTCGTGAAATGATGACCTCTCTATCTGTGATCAGGGCTCCCTCTGCCTCCTCTTCCGCCCGGACCTCACCGTCGTGTTCAACCCAGTCGATCACGCTATGCTCCTTCACTGCCTGCTCCATCAACTCAGTGGGACCGCACTCCCTTGGTTTGAGTCCTACTTTACAAACCGCCAGCACTACATTTCCTCAAAAGGTTTTTCTTCTCGCATCCGTCCGATCACCTGCGGTACCTTGGCTCCCTTCTATTCCTCATCTATATGCTCCCTCTTGGTGATGTAATCTGCAAACACAGGGTTAACTTCCACATGTAAACGGTTGACACACGACTCTACTCCTTCTGCAGCTGTGAGCCCCCAGTCCCCTGATGTCTGGCTGAGCTGTCATCAGCATTGCCCAGAAATACTGGGCAATATTTCATGCGGGTCCACAGAAATACTGTGGACCCGCATGGCTCAGGAACTGGACTAGAGACACATCACCTTGTAGCCAGCTCAGCCCTCCGAGACTCTGCTTACCTCCCACCGAGATGTTTAGTGAGATTCAAAAGGGAAAAACAGTGAGGGGTAGAGACAGAGAGAGAGACAGGGTGGTAGAGGAGAGGTTGGGTGGAGATGGAGCAACAAAGGGAGATGAGAGAAGAGCTGGCTCCTTGTGTGAGTCACAGCAATAACAAAGCAATTTTTTAGTTGATGTTGTAACAAATTTGTACTTTGTACAATGTCCAATTATCTGCACTATCTGCTTATCCACAGTGAGGAGGGTGGGCAGTCAGTAGACAATGGCCTCTCAACTGTACAGGGGGTTCGCAAAGTCCTGTTATCCCCATGTTTTTTTACTATGGTGCACTGACCAACAACTGAAACGTGGAAGAATGATGATAATTGTATTTGGAAGTACTTCATTGTATTCAGTACAAGTGTTTAACTGTATTTAGATGTCCAGAGAATGGGTGTGTGTGAGTGCCATCATTTTCATGGCAGATAATGATCCGTGGCCATGTTCGGTGCCACATCTTCTGTAACATGATGGAATGACGAGGCTAAATGCATCTCTGACAACTTGTTTCAGCTCTTCCATAGTCTCATATCACTGTTTTGTAACGGGGTAACAAGATTTTGTGGACACCCTGTGGGTACTTGTTGCTCCCAGGCCGGTGTGGAATGGTCAGTTAGGTGCCAAGCTGTGTAACTGTGTTGATTTGACGTGATGCATGTGGAGCGAGGGATCTGTTGGTGTGGCAGTCTCTGATGCTAATCTTGCCCCCCGGTCAGTTTGTGAAACAAATCTTCGTCCAGGGTCTCATTCTGGTCCTTGGAGCGAGTGGACAGAAAGATGTAGCCTCCGATGTACTCGTGGATGATCTTACAGTCTGCGTTCAGACAGGTGAGTGCCACGGCAACACTCTGATCAAACTCAATTGCAACCTGAAATGGGAGGATTCACATTGGTATTGTGGAGTAACGTAGAGTTGTGCTTAGCGCAGGCGCCCACCTCGCAAAGACCCAGATTCGATTCCCGGGCGGGGTGAAACTTAAGTCAAGTTTCCTTACTCCACACGCCTCTGTTTACCTAGCAGTAAGTCGGAACTTGGTTGTTAGACGGATCATTTTCCGGGGGTAATAATAATAATAATAATTGGTCACTCAATCCACAACTCTTTGTGTTGCCGTCAAATACACAGTCACTCCATTTCACAGTAAATCCTGTGAAGCGCTTTGAGACATCTTTCCGATGCAAGTATTATTATTATTATCATAATCATATTATTATTAAGACTGCAGCGTGGGGAACTAAATGCTGCTGACTATTCAGCGCTTTGGGACATCCTCCTGACGTGAAAGGCGCTCGATAAATGTAATTTTGTCGTCGTCGTCGTCGTTCTGATCACAAGCTGAAGGCAGCGGTTTTGTACCTGGTTGTTCTGGGCTACATTGATGGTCTCACCTGCCTGATCTCCCAGTTGACGTTCCACTGCTTTATATTACTGTATCGCCAGGTAATGAGCGGGTCCCCTGTTGCCATGTCTATTCTGATCAGACGGTTATAGGAAACGCCCAGCAGGTCGTCCTTCTTACTTCCTCTGAACCTGTAGGACGGGTTTGTGTAGAGTATCAGAGTTACTGACCGGTCATGTAGTTACTGACCAGTTGGGAGGGAGACGTGTGGAAATCATGTGCCAGACGTGTGCAAGACATGTGGGAGACGCGTGGGAGCGGACACGACACAAGATGGTGATATTGTCCATCACGTCAGGCACTCACCTGGCCACAAAGTAGGAGATGCCGAAGGCAGGCAGCGACTGCCAGGCCTGAATAAACTGCAGCTTCGCCTCCACCAGCGACATGTGAGCAACATTAACACGGGCCTCCAGCACACGCGTGACCAACTGTGATAACACGCAGATCAGAGATACTTTATGGAACGTCATCTACTCACCCTTCACACCTCACACCCTCACCCACACACACCCCTCACCCCTCTCACACACACACCTTCACCCCTCACACACACATACCCTCACACACACATACCCTCACACACACACACCCTCGCCATACATCCTCAGTCCCAAACTCGGAGTATTAACAGTGTGTCGTACCTGCTTATTTTTGAACTTTTTCAGGTATCGGGGGGAGACCAGGGATTCGGGGCTGATGTCCATGGTGACCGTGTCAGGGACAGCTTGAGCTAAGCCGTTGACGTTTTTCATCTTGAGGAAGGTCTGTATGTTGTGGACCTCGGTCAGGAAGGAGCTATCAGCCATGGTCTTCCCCTTGGAGGCCAACTTACAGGCTGCCATCCACTGTGCGTACTGGCTCTCCTACACCATATACACATCAGACACACTATTATAATAATGTACTGGCTCTCCCATATCATATACACACCAGATACACTATTATAATAATGTACTGTCTCTCCTATACCATATACACACCAGATACACTATTATAATAATGTACTGGCTCTCCTACACCACATACACTGTTATATTAACACTAATACACTAATTAACACTAATACACTACCATAATAATATTAAGGGGACAATCAAATCCTTGAATCTATCACGTAATTGAAATATCTCAAAGCGCTTCACAGGATTTACTGTAATGGCAGTGACTGTATTTTGTGGGCAAAATTTGGCTGCCAATTGGCGCACAGTAATGTCCCGCAAACAGCCATGAAACAGTGACCAATTTTTTTTTATCTGGTGGACTGTCGGCCAGGACACCGGGAGAGAGAAACTCCCTTCTCTTTTTGAACAGTGTCATGGGATCTTTAACGTCCACCTGAACAGGCACAGATGGGACCTCGGTTTAACGACTCATCCGAAGGACGGCACCTCCGACAATGTAGTTCACCCTCCCAGCACTGCATTGGAGTGTTAGATTAGACTATGTGATTCCAAGTCCTGAACTAGAGTTTGAATCCACAACCCACTGACTCAGAGATGAAAGCGCTACCACGACGCCAGGTTGACTATATGCTACATATACATTATATACCATAAACTATACATACTATATATTCCACATATACCATATAAAATATACTGTATATTGTAAGAGCTAGGACATTAATAATATTAATAATCTTTGTATTTAATACAGTGCCCGACATCTCAAAGCGTCTCACAGAGTTTAATCTGAAGTATAAGATAAACAGAATCTTCCAGTAATATGTAATAAAATAAGCCTCCACTCCCCTTTCAAATCAAGTCTCTCCTGTTTCCCTTATCAACATTTTGTGAAAGATCAGAAAGCTGGAGAAGTGGAACTGGTCATTGAGTACGCTGCGAGAGGGCATCAGGGTGAGATTAGTAAATGGGCAAGCGGGGAGGTGAGAAGTTTTCCTGCACACAGTGGTCAGCATGTGGAATGAACTGAGGTTGAGGCAGAATCCATATTAATTTCAAAAGGGACTTAGATAACGTAAAAAGAGTCAACTTCAGGGATATGAAGAAAAGACAGATAATAATAATAATAATAATTCTTGCATTTGATATAGCGGGTTATCACGTCGTTGAGACATCTCAAAGTGCTTCACAGAATATACTGTAAGTAGATTGACTTGCGTCTTTTGTGGATGAAACGCAGCAGCCAAGCTAGAGTCTAACCAGCTAAAAGCACATAACTTGCCATTGATTCAGCTGTCTGGCAAGCTTTCCCGCTGCTTGTTCAGCTAGGACAGCCCTGTGTGTATAAAGCACTTACGTTGTGACATTTCAGGTGCACTTCATTCATGCCATCACTCACAGGAACCAACAATTTGATCCCAAATTTCTGCCCCGTCACATTCACGTCTGGTACAACTTCACACCCTGTAAATAATCGGAGATCACAGCCGTGAGTTACACCAATACACCCAATTCAGTGTGACCAGTGTGTAGTGATAGCGTCTTTTAACATTGTTGCGACATCTCAAAGCACTTCACATAATATACCGTAAAGTGGATTGACTGTGTTTTGTGGGCAAAACGCAGCAGCCAATTGTGCACAGCAGTGTCCCACAAACAGTCGTGGATTGAGTGACCAAATGTTTTTTTTTGGAGGGATTATTAACCCTGGAAAGTGATCCACCCATCAACTAATAGCTGGGTTCCCACTTTCACTGCTAGGTTACCAGAAGTGTGTGGAATAAGGAAACTTGTCTAAGGTTTCGCCCGCCCAGGAATGGAATGCAGATCCCTCTCTTCCAAGGCGAGCGCACTAATCACTAGTTTACATGACTAAAGTGCAGTGCATACATTAAGTGCGTGTCAGGATTCCCGGTACGGAGATTGCTGGAGTCTGGATTCTGCGGTAGTGTCTTACCCCTGAGGTTTATCTGTTCTATTGGTTGATCCTGAGAAACCTCCTTATTCTTGTAGTAAGATATGGAGACATCTCTGAAGGTGACGTAGTACTGTTTGTACGGTCTCAGTGTCAGTTTCTTGGGCCTGGAAATGGGACACGTTTTTATAATTTCAGAAAAGAGAAAACATTTTCTTCTGAGAATACTTACACTGCAATCCAAGCCAGCTTTAACCTAAACCCCCCTCTCGATCATTGCTTCTCACAAGACCACACATTTAGTCTGGGTGAAGAAGGTTCTTCGTCCCCCCAGTCCCTGTCCCCCATCACAGCATACAGCTCTGACTAACAAGCTGTAATTTCTGCTGCAGTTTCAATAATAATAATAATCCTTGCATTTGATGTCGCACCTTATCACGTTGTTAAAGCGTCTCAAAGTGCTTCACAGAATATATTGTAAAGTGGATTGATTATTTTGTGGACGAAACGCAGCAGCCAATTGCGCACATCAGTGTCCCACAAACAGTCATGGATTGAGAACATACTCCCACCCGCTGTTCATCAGTCTCCCATGTACTGCCTCACCCTGTACAATGTTAAACAGTGTCTACCACAGTTCTACCCACTCGCTTCATCTATCAAGGTTTCCCTGTACTTCTCACCTGTCCTCTTCCCAATGCATAATGCCTCCTTCCTATCTTAGTGTCCTATGCAAATTGTGATTGAGAAAATAAACCCAGAAAGTGAAAAATACTTTCCAACACACCAGGGCAGCAGAACCCAAGGGCACAGAACAATTTCAGGACTGTTACCAGTAATGGGGGGACAGTAGGGTGGGTGTTCTGAAGGGATGAGATTAGATGGGGCAAAGGGTCTTCTTCATCCAATCTTCATCTCTTTTGTCAAATAAATCTGATAAATAAGAGACATAAGGACTTACCGGAAGATTTTAAGATAATCTGCCAACTTTGGGATATCTGTGATGTCCGCCTAAAGTGAAACCAATTCCTCAAATTAATGTAATTTATCGTGTAATTACCTCACACATTCACACACCCACACCTCACACACCTTACACACCCACACCTCACACACGATAAACTGGGAGCAGCTGAGGACTGGGGTGATGGGTGTTGATGTGGGAGAGGCGAGAAGGTAAACAGTGGTTTCCCCTGGGCTGGTTCCAAGGTGACATGTTTGACAATGAAAGACTTGGAAGCCAATCCACCCTCTGTGATGATCTAGTCCGGTTCCTGAGTGGGTCTGTAGTATTCCAGGGCACTGCTGATGAGAGCACGGCCAGCCTGGCTTATTGACAAGACCTGAAAGGGCAGACCAGTCACTGGGGGCAGTGAATCATCCCACTCAGCTCCTGTTAATCCTGCAAGTCAAAGCATTAAGAACAACAACAACAACAACAAGATTCCATTTATAGAGCGCCTTTCACGTCGGGAGGACATCCCAAGGCGCTGGACAGTTGGGTCAGGACCCGAGCAGGGGGGAAATGGTCAAGGTGAGGGGAGAGAAGGGAGGGAGCGAGGAGTGGGTAGAGAGTCGAGAGGGGAGCTGAAGGCACGGTTGAAGAGAAAGGTCTTGAGACCGGCCTTGAAGGAGGAAAGGGAGGAAGCAAGGCAAAGGCACTGGGGGATGGAGTTCCAGAGCCTGGGGGCTGAGAGGCTGAAGGCCCGGCCACCGATGGTAGGGCGGTTGGGGCGGGGGATGTGGAGCAGACCGGCGCCAGAAGAACGGAGGGTACGGGCAGGTAGGTAGGGGGATAGTAGGTCGGAGAGGTAGAAGGGAGCGAGGCCGTGAATGGCCGAGGATGAGGATCTTGAATTCGATCCTCTGGAGGATGGGAAGCCAGTGGAGGCGAGCGAGGGTGGGAGTGATGTGGTTGCAAAGCCTGGTGCGGGACAGTACACGAGCTGCAGAGTTCTGAATGACCTAACCGGTAGGGTTGCCCTAGCTGGACAAGAAATAGGAAAGAACAACAACATAATTATATTTATATAGTGCCTTTCACATCAGAAAGATGTCCCAAGGCCCTGAAAGACATGATATTATGGTAAGCTATGATTTACCTGGTTAGACTCCAGCGACTGCCCCAATGCACATTCTCGCCAGCCTGTAAAACACACTAAGACACACACACACGCGCACAGTGACACATACAGACATACACACATGCACACTCACAGACACATACCTACAGACCCACACAGACAAACATACACAGACACACACATAGACATGCAAAGACATACATATGCACACACTCACACACACATAGACATACAACAACAAAATTACATTTGTACAGCACCTTTCACATCGGGAAGACGTCCCAAGGTGCTGGACAGTCAGTGTTTCAGACCCGAGCTGGGGGTCAGGATTGGGGAGGGTGGAGGGCAGGGGGGAAGCAGGGTGATTGAAAGGATGGTCAAAGTGGAGGGTTTTGAGATGGATCTTGAAGGAGGCCAGGGAGGGAGCGAGGGGGAGAGACTGTGAGATGGAGTTCCGGAAAGTGGGGGCAGAGTGACAAAAGGCTTGCCCACCAATGGTAGGACAGGCAAGGTGGAGGGTGTGAAGCAGGCTAGAGCACGCTGAGCGGAGGGAGCAGGCAGAATGGTAGGGTGTCAGGAGGTCACAGAGGTAGGGGGGAGCAAGGCCATGGAGGGCTTTGAAGGTGAGGACCAGGATCTTGATCTGTATCCTCTGTGTGATGGGAAGCCGGTGGAGTCGGGTGATGGGGTCACGGAGCTTAGTGCGGGGGCTGGAGGGTTCTGGATGTGGCCTATGGAGGGAGGAGTTGGGGAAGCTGATAAGCAAGGAGTCAAGCCTCGATGCAATGCACGCATGTATGAAGGTTTCAGAGGCCTGCGTGTGAGACAGTGGCAGAGTTGGGTGATGTTGCAGAGGTAGGGGAAGGCAGAGCGGGTCATGGCACAGATGTGGGATAGAAAGGATAGTTGAGGGTTAAACAAGACCCCAAGGTTGCGGACTGGCTTAGCAATGGTGGAGAGTGCAGCCATGGATGGTGGTACTGTCAGTGCCTGAGGTGAGGAGGCGCTGACGGGAGCCAATTAGGAGAGCCTCAGTCTTATTGACATTCAACTGATGTGATGTCCGATAGACATTGACCCCATGTCTGGGGATGATGTCACCAAGAGGGAGTATATAGATATTGAAGAGAAGGGAACCAAGGACAGAGCCCTGAGGAACACCGCAAGAGATGGTGCAGGGGCTAGAGGAGAAGCTGTTTGTAGAGACGAAGTGGAGGCCGTGTGAGAGGTATGATCTGAACTATTCAAGGAGAGAACTGTGAAAGTCGAGGTGAGAGGAGAACCGGAGGACGAGGATAGAGTGGTCAACAGTGTTGAAGGCAGCAGAGAGGTCAAGGAGGACGAGGAGGCAGAGGGACCCTTGGTCGCAGGTGGACAGAATGTCATTTGTCACTTTGACCAGGGCTGTTTCTGTGCTGTGGGCGGCACGGAAACCCGATTGGAGGGGTTTGTGAAGGGAGTAGCGGAAGAAGAAGGAGTGAAGCTGGAAGCAATGCCTCCTCATTCCAGGACCTCGGAAAGGAAAGGGAGGTTGGAGATGGGGAGGTAGTTTGAGAGCATGGCTGGGTCCAGGGAGGTTTTTTTAAGGATAGGAGTGATGACGGACGTTTTTAAAGGGGTGGGAATGGTATCAGGGGACAGGGAGAGGTGTATGATGTCTGTGAGTAGAGGGGCAAGGATATGGAGCTGGGAGGTAAGGAGAGGGGTAGGGATGGGGTCGAGGGAGCAGGTCGTCGGTTTCATGCAAGTTATATGGTGGTGAGAGAGGAGTGGGAGACAGGTTCAAAGGTGTGGAGTAAAAGGGTGGGTAGGGGCCGGGGTGTGAGGAGAAGACGGGGAGGGGTAATAGACAGAAGGGCAGAGACAGCTGAGCGGATCCCCTTGACTTTGGATTCGAGGAAGTCCAGCATCGCCTCGCAGTTGATTGAAGTTGCCTAGGATGAGGAGGCATTCAGAGCAGAGGGAGACGGAAGATAGGAGGGTGAAGATGTCAGGGAGGAAGGTGGGGGAGGGCTGGGGTGGTGGTAGTGAGGGGTGATAGATCAGGAGAATTTTGAAGGAAAGGTTGGAGGGGTGATAAAAGGTCAGGTGCTCAAAGGAGGGAACGTTATGCTGAGTGGGGACCGGGAGATGAGAGCCACAACACCACTATGGTGTTTAGGTCGTGAGGTATGATGGAAGGTGTAGCTGGGAGATGTAGCCTCTGTCAGAGGGAAGGTGACGCCTGGAGTGATCCAGGATTCAGTGAGGGCGAGAATGACAATGTTTTCATCGACAATGAGGTCTTGGATGGTGAGTGTTTTATTGGAGAGGGAGCAGACATTTTGTAGGCCAATGCAGAGGGGACAGTTGGTGGCAGAATTTGGGGACGGTGTGGGGGGAGGATTGAGAGGGAGGATGGGGATGTGGATGAGGGAGGAGAGATTGGCCCCTGTGGTCAGGGACTTTGCGACGAGAATGGGGATAGGGCAGTCAGAGTGGCTGCTGTTTGACAGCCAGCGGCGTTGGCCACTGTGGGTCCGACAGAGGATTCGCAGCCTGGAGCAGAGGGAGGCCGTGGGATGGTCTAGCAGGGATAGAAGTCGGGGAGGGCGATGGGAGAGGAGGACCGAGCAGGAGTAATGGAGGGTAGAGGACAGGTCTCTGGTTGGATGTTCACCAGGAGAGTCAACAATGGCCGCGATGGCTGAAGCGGTGAAACCCACGTTGACTCCGTGTGACTCAGATAGGTGGGCCTCGGTCCCCACGTTGAGGATACATACGTACACACAGACACAGTCATACATACACAGACATACATACACACAGACACACACACACAGACACACCTTGCCCTGACCAAAACACCCCCAAAACTAATTTTGTGTTTTGATCTCAAAGATGGAGATGTTGTTCAGCAAATATTTTGTGTTTGAATCTCTTGGATCGCTATCCACATCTGCATTATTGTAACATGTGGCTGCCAGCCTGGCAGAAGGTGGACAAGATAGATCATTAATCTTTTCTGTACAGCATTTCCTATATTCCTCACCAAAGCATTATCTGTGGATCCGCCCTGCAGGGTCACCTCCAGGCTGGCGAGCGCTGCCTCCACCTCGTCCACGTCTTGCTCACACCGGCTCTCCCGCGGCTCCCAGCAAAGCGATAGGCTGCTAACATGGTACTGCAACCAGACCCACACATCACTCAACAACAGCAACAACAATAGTCTGTGTGACTGTACTATATCTCTTATATATTAAGAGAAATAGCGCTCTTAACGCGGGGTAGCATCTCAGAGCACTTAATTCTCCCACACAGCTCCGATTAACCCTGCAAGCCACAGCCCTAAATAAAGTGTAGGGTGATCCTAGCTGGACAACCATTGGGAAAGCTTGCCAGACAGCAATATCAATGGCATGATATGTGTTTTTAGCTGGTTAGACTCCAGCAGTTACCCCAATAATAATAACAATCCTTGCATTTGATATAGCGCTCTTCACGTCTTATAGATGTCCCAAAGCGCTTCACAGAATATGCTGTGAAGTGATTTGACTGTATATTTGTGGGCAAAATGTGGCAGCCAATTGCGCACAGCAGTGTCCCACAATCAGTCGAGGATTGAAAATGACCAATTTATTATTTTTTTTGTTTTTTGGAGGGATTATTATTAGGTGTGTAGAGTAAGGAAACTTGCCCAAGGTTTCGCCCTGACCTGCCTGGAATTGAACCCAGGTGTCTCGCTTGCAAGCGAGTGCTCTAACCACTGAGCTACAGGACTCCACAGGGTAATGCACACTCTGGGGTTCCCAAGCCTTGGGACTAATATTTTTTGAAATTAGGTACGCAGGATGTGTCCCTCCAAGGAGAGAGTGTGCATTCCATTCCAACAATCTATCTCTGAGATTTCCACGTGTAGATGGGATGTATGGTTTGGATTCTGTTAGCACAATGATGGGTTTCCACATGCGTCACACACCCGGCTGACCAGAAAATGAAGAAAAAGAATTGTCCCAACCTGTAAACCCGCGAACATCAGCATCTCCTCCTCCGTGCAGTCGATCTCCTCCAGGAGGATGGCCCAGCGAGCCTGCTCATACAGCTGGTTAATCCTCACAGCGTCATACTGCACAGAGACAGGGGTCATTATATCCATTTAGACCAGCAACGGTTCAGCTCCATTCATCCCAATGTCGACAAACCACCAGGTGTCACAAACCACACTCAACCCTCCATCAACCTCCCAACACCCCCGACCTCCCAACCCTCCCCGACCTCCCAATCCTCCCCGACCTCCCACACGCCCAACCTCCCAACCCTCCCCGACCTCCCACATGCCCGACCTCCCAACCCTCCCCGACCACCCAAGCTCCCCCGCTCCCAACCCCCCCTGACCTCCCAACCTTCCCAACCTCCCAACATCCCAACCTCCCAATCCCACCTGACCTCCGAACACCCCATGACCTCCAACCAACCCCCGACCTCCCAAAATACCTCCCGACTTCACATAATACCCCCAAACTCACACACCTCCTTCCCCCAAAAACCCGACCTCCCTAAAATACCTCTTGGGGTGTCACACTGAACCAGGCTGACAAAAGGTGTCACAGAGAGCGAGAGAGAGGGGGAGGGTTGGTTGGCACAATGTGCTACTACAGTAACACAATAACTCCGAATGGAACAATCAGATCATGGCGGTCGCGGCTCTTACCTTTGGGTTGAGATCAAAGAAGCTGTAATATTTATATCTCAGGAGCAGCTGCTCGTTCTCCTGGAAGCCTTGCTCCATCAGTGAACGGGAGGAATCCAACCACCTAAGCAGCATAGAAGATAAAGGAACCAGGAGACAAGTCACCACAGATCTGGGGAGAACCCGCAGCTTTTCCCTATATTTCCCATTTTCAGTGTGAATGCGCCACCTACATTTACCCTCGGAACAACTGGTTCAAATCTGCTTTACTTTTCCTTCAAACAGTCCCTCAGCCGTCTCACCCACAAAACACACCACCATTCCACATTCCAGCTCATCCTGTGAAGCGCTTTGAGATTCCTCCAGTCATATCAAATATAAGTATTATTATTATACTATTTAACTCTATGTAACAATACATAACTCCATGTCACTATAGATATCTCTGTGTAACTCCCTGTAACTCTGTGTATCTCTATGTAACTGTGTTTCTTTATGTATCTCACGTCCTCCTGACGTGAAAGGCCACTACTGTATATAAATGGAATTTGTTGTTTTTGTTATCTCTATGTATCTCTGTAATTCTGTGTATCCCTGTATATCTCAATGTGTCTCTGTGTTTCACTGTAACATCCCCAGTTCCTCAGACAATTTTGTTTGGTCAGCCGGGTGTCTGACACACGCGGAAATCCATCACCATGTTTAAGAGTATCCAGACCAAACTGAGAATTTCATGCATCCACCCACACATGGAATAGAGATAGATTGTTGGAATCTGTCTGTATATCTCTGTATATCTCTGTGTATCTCTCTGTGTGTATCTCTGTCTATCTCTTATGTATCGCTGTATCTCTCTATGTATATCTATGTATATCTCTCTGTGTATATCTCTGTGTATATCTCTCTGCGTATCTCTGGATCTCTCTGTGTATGTCTCTCTGTGTATCTCTCTGTGTATCCATCGTTCTGTAGGTATTTCTGCGTGTATCTCTGTGTATCTCTTTGTGTATCTCACTGTGTGTATCTCTGTGTGTATCTCTGTGTGTATCTTTATCTCTCTGTGTATATCGCTGTGTATATCGCTGTGTATCTCTCTGTGTATCTCTCCATCGCTCTGTGTGTATCTCTGTGTGTCTCTCTTGCTCGTGAAGTGTGGTAATGCTCTCGGTGCTATATGAAATGTGAGGAGGATTCTGATTGACTGTAATGGGCCACACAGTTGGACCTGCTCCTTCAAGAGGCAAAAATGTCAAATCCCAAATAAGAAAGTTCCAGGATGATAAGAATTGTTCTTACCCTGCGTTTACCTTGGCCTTGTCTAGGTGGCTCTGCGGACGGTACATTCTGGCCAGGATGTCGGGGGTGAGATCTGGCTGGCTGATGGCCAGGACGCTGCAGTTGTGGTCAGCCAGAGGACTATCGCTGAACCAGGTGACTGTGGAGGAGAGAGGCGTGCCATTCACGGGGTCAAATAGAGGAGTCATTGTCTTGCTGTACAGACCAGGACTCGCTGCAGGAGATAACCACAGACAAATACCATCCTGTTAATACATTTCATTTCCCACAAACATCAATCCGAAATTACTTGTGGAACGGTGAAATATTTTATTATCATGACTATGTGTTGGGTGCTCACTGTAGATAGAGGTCTCTGTTGGGTCTCTATAATGATGAGGTCTGTATCTCTCTGTACTGATGGTCTCTCTCTCGCTCGCTCTCACTCTGTTTCTCTATAAGTTTCTTTTAAGTATCACATTCAGTCCAGCTTAGTTGGTAGCACCAGAATGTTGTGGGTTCAAGCCCCACGTCAGGACTTGAACTCATATAATCTTGCTGACATTGCATTGTCACTGGTGCCATTCATCGGATGAGACGTTAAGCCGAGATCCTGGTATGTGTGTGTGTGTGTGAGATAACAACATGGACTTATGGTCATAGTCAAAACAAGACTTGTTTAAAAAGCAGAAGAATAAGGAGAAACAAAGAAGAGATGAAGATAATGAAGAAAAGATAAGGAAGAGGAAACTCATGTCACTACTAATTCTACTCTCGGGCTGAGTAACTATACCTGTCTGAATCATGCACATTCCTATATAAAGGTTTAAACAAAACATCTTGACTCTGTGAGCTTGATCATCTCAGTGTCTACATCATTGCCCAATTTGATTTAAATTAAATACAGTTACATTTGGTGACGACTTAAGTCAACACCTCCACACGGCTCTGTGATGCTGATCACTCTCCCAGTACTGACATTCTCCCCGGTATTCTCAGCAATGATTGCTCTCCAGAATTCCCAACAGTGACCGCTCTTCCCTATATTCCCAGCGATGATAGGACAGATTGTACTGAGCCTGGACATCCTGAGCTCCTCAGATCCTTTTTTTTTTGGTCAGCAGCCGGGTGTACCGAAACACATGGAAACTCATCACCACACTTAACAGTATCCAAACCAAGCTGAGAATTCCATGCATAATAATAATAATAATAATCCTTGCATTTGATATAGTGCTTTTCACGTCTTCTAGACGTCCCAAAGCGCTTCACAGAATATACTGTAAAGTGAATTGACTGTATATTTGTGGGCAAACGTGACAACCAACTGCGCACAGCAGTGTCCCACAAACAGTCATGGATTGAAAATGACCAATTTATTATTGTTTTTTTGGAGGGATTATTATTAGGCTCTGTGTGGGGTAAGGAAACTTGCCCAAGGTTTCGCCCTCTGCCTGGAATTGAACTCAGGTCTTGCAAAGCGAGTGCTCTAACTATTGAGCTACAGGACTCCCATGCATCCCACCTACACACAGAAATCCCAGAGACAGATTGTTGGAATGGAATACGCACTCTCTCCCTGGAGGGACACATCCTGCTCACCTAATTCCGGCAAGTATTAGGTGCAGGTTGGTAGGAGCCAAGGCTTGGGGATCCCAAGAATTGTTTTAATATTACCTATAGCCAACAGGATTGATTGTTCACTCTGTAATAACTGCTGGAGTCTACCTTAGCTAAACCATATAGCTTGCCATTGAGGGCACTGTCTGGCAATCAATTCACCCAACATCTTGGACAGTGATGACGGGCATTCACTCCAAGCGCTTCACCTAATGATCCCGGAGACACTGGTAACTGCTCCAAGTCTAGAATATCCTCACTGACGGAATCCTTTGCCTTTTCTTTTCTCTTCTTCTTTTTGAAGCTCTCGTCTGGTGGTCTCAGCAGAGAGAGTTCCTCTGACCGTCGGATATCTGCAATTCATAAAACAGTAAGTCTCCTTTCCAACAACAAATTACATTTATACAGCGCCTTTCATGTCGGGAGGTGCTGGGCAGAAAATGGTTTGCACCTGAGCTGGAGTTTGGGATTAGGAAGGGGTGGAGGGCAAGGGGGTGGAGGAGGGAAGATGGCCGAAGGCACGGTCAAAAAGGAAGCTCTTGAGATTGACCTTGAAAGTGAGGCTCTGGGATGGAGTTCCAGAGGATGGGGGCAGAAAAATTGAAGGTGTGGGACATGGAGTAGGCATTTTTGACAGCATTCTGCCAATAATAATCCTTGCAATTGATATAGCATCTTATCACATCTTCGAGACGTCTCAAAGTGCTTCACAGGATTTACTGTAAAGTGAATTGACTGTATATTTTGTGTGTGATACGTGGCAGCCAATTGCACACAGGTCGCATACACACACACACATAGATGTGCTAATTGTTAATTTTACACAAACCTGGGTTCTCGCTGAAGCCTGACTCAGTCACTGTATGAGGTAAAGCGAACGGCACGTGCTACACTTACTCAGTTTGTGCTACACTTACTCAGTGTCTTGCAGATGTCGATGACGACCCTGAAGACCACAGCAGAGAAGCTGACCTTTAACCTCACCGTCCTCATGTTAGGTAGCTGGAGTTTTAAGGGTTTGTGTTGTGGGGTGAAGGACAGCCTGGCGTCCGCCTGCACCCCGCATTTGTCCAGAGTCCAGTGGGTTTTTAGAAGCCAACAATGTTTCTGTTCCCACCAAAGAGCGTGGTCAGACCAGTCCTGGGCCATCTCTGTAGGAATCAAACCCATATATTCAGTTCAAGACCCACATCCAGACTTGGTAACCATACCACACTGACACACCAAGCCAATATGTCAAATGTAAAGATTATTGTTATTATTATTGTTATTACAGAGTGAACAATCAATCCTGTTGGCTCTAGGTAATATTAAAACAATTCTTTTATTTGATACAGTGCCTGATTATAATAATAATAATCCTTGGATTTGATATAGAACCTTATCATGTCATTGAGATGTCTCAAAGCGCTTCACAGAATATATTGTAAAGTGGATTGTCTGTGTGGTTTGTGGGTGAAACGCAAACCAATTGTGAGCAGCAGTGTCCCACAAAAAGTCGTTAATTTTCTTTGGAAAGGATTATTACCCCCAGAAAGCAATCTGCCAATCGACTAGCAACCGGGTTCCTACTTACTGCTAGGTAAACAGAAGCATGTGGAGTAAGGAAACTTGTCTAAGGTTTCACCCGGCCCAGGAATTGAACCTGGGTTTTTAGATTCATAGATTTCATAGAATGTTACGGCACAGAAGGAGACCATTCGGCCCATCGAGTCTGTGCCGGCTCTTTGACAGAGCAAGTCACTTTCACTAACCCCAATCACCAGCTTTCTCCCCATAACCCTGCAAACCCATCTTCCCCAGATACCTATCCAGTTCTCTCTTAAAAGCTGTTATCGAATCGGACTTCACTACCCTTTCAGGCAGATCATTCCAAATTCAAACAACTCGCTGAGTGAAAAAATTTTGGTAGATATTTTAAGACTGTGACCACGGGTCACAGACACACCTACCAGCGGAAACAGCTTTTCCTTATCTAGCCTGTCGAAACCTTTCATGATCTTGAAGACCTCTGTCAGGTCCACGCGTAACCTTCTCTGCTCTAATGGGAAAAGTCCTAACTTCTCCAGCCTGTCCTCATAGCTAAGGTTCCCCATTCCTGGTATCATTCTCGTGAATCTCCTCTGCACCCTTTCCAGTGCCTTAATGTCCTTCCTGAAGTAAGGTGCCCAGAACTGGACGCAGTACTCCAGCTGAGGCTTAACCAGTGTTTTGTATAGATTAACCATAACCTCCCTACTCTATGCCCCTACTAATAAAGCTCAGTACACCAAATGCCTTTTTGACTGCCATATCTACCTGCCCCGCTACCTTTAATGATTCGCTTACTTGAACACCCAGATCTCTCTGTACGTTCACCCCCTTAAGATTGAGCTACCAAGTCTATATTGCCTCCTATCATTTTTCCTACATAAGTGTATCACCTCACACTTATCCACATTGAAATCCATCTGCCACATGTCAGCCCATTCCACCATTCTGTGTGTGTCTGCTTGCAGTTGGTTACAGTCCTCCTCACTATTTACTACCCAACCTAACTTTGTATCATCTGCAAACTTGGAAATAGTGCTCTCTATGCCCAAGTCCAGATCATTAATATATATTAGAAAGAGCATTGGTCCCAATACCGATTCCTGGGGGATACCGCTGCACACCTCCTTCCATTTCGAGAAACACCCATTAACCACCACCCTCTGCTTTCTGTCACTCAGCCAGTTCTTAATCCAAACTGCCATTGTCCCCTTAATACCGTGGTGACTCTCCAAGGCACTATATCAAATGTAAAGACTATTATTATTACTTAAATATTATTACAGAGTGAAGAGTTAATCCTGTTGGCTTTAGGTAATAGTTCAAAAATTCTTATACTTCATACAGTGCCTTATCATATTGGAGGATGCCTCAAAGTATCTCACAGGATATATTTAATGTCTGAATTTTGTAGTCAAACATAGCATCCAATGCGCACACAGCAACGTCTCACAAACAGCCATGGAGTGAGTGACAAATTTTATCTGAGGAATTGTCAGCCAGGACACCAGGAGAGAAACTCCCTTCTCTAGTCTGTGAGCTCAAAGTCCCCGACATGGGGCTTCAACCTTTCTACCCTGGAGTGACAATACTACCGAGTGAGCCAGGCTATTAACTATTAATAGCACAAGCAATTATGCATCTCAACGGGCAATATTTCACTTACGGATTTGTTCAACTAATTTTAACATGACTCCTCCAATGTGAAAGTCTCCTGTTACTCTTAGAGTGAACTCCAGGGGTAGCTCTCCATCCGGTTGGTCCACCAAGACCTTCAGCTCCCAGGAAGAACCCCCGTACTCGCTGGGTGAAGAGGCCATCTTCTTCAATACCCCGTCCCTGCCAACGAAGAGACATCAATGATATATTTAATACAGCATTTAGATTGCAAGGTGTACGTTTTGTATCTGAAACAAATTAAAGCTACATTCCTCATTGCAAAACCACTAGAAAACTCAGAATATAATAATAACAAACCTTGCATATGACTCAGTGCCTTATCATGTCATTGAGATGACTCAAATCATTTCACAGAGTATACCTTAAAGTGAATTGACTGTATATTTTATGGGCAATTAAATATCAACTCAGATAACTGGAAATGGAGACCGTGTGCGTGTATATAATTTGCTAAAGTGACTGATATTACAAAAACCAAAAACAGCATTCGAGTTGAATTGGTCAAACAGACATATGGAAATGCATCGCCCAAAGACAGAAATAGTTCGAATTTAGGAATTCTGGTTCTCCCGCATTCCTGTCTCTTAGCCTCAGAATAAATCTGACCACTTAAAGGTATACCACCTGCCGCTAACAGTGAGAACTCTGGGTATTCAGGCAAGTGGCAACTTGTGTGAAATATTCGCAGACTCCAAACACACCACAGCCTCTCTTTGTGAAGTTTTTACTTTAGGTTGCTGATGATTTGATCTGAGAAGTAAAATTAAATAAATTAGAGTTCAGGCACCCCAGAAAACCAAAAAAAGACAAAGAGCCAGGGAAGAGAGGAGCTATGTGCGAAGGGCAAAAAGTTATAAAAATATATATATCAAAGAGATTTTTTTTAAATTGTGGGAAAGATTATATCCCCCCCACCCCCCACTCCCCCGCCAAAGGTAAAGGACGTGAGATTCAAGGGCAGAAATAGGCTTAATTTGTTATTTCAAAGCTTGGGGAAAGTTTTTTTTATAAAGGATAAATTGTAGTCCTGTAGCGTAGTGGTTAGAGCGCTCACCTCACAAGTGAGAGGACCCAGGTTCGATTCCCAGGAGGGACAAAACTTTAGGCAAGTTTCCTTACTCCACACACCTCTGTTTACAGCAGCAAGAAGGAACCCGCTTGTTAGTCAATTGGGAGATCGCTTTCCAGGGGTAATAATCCCTCAAAAAAATAATAATCTTTGTCCCTCAATTCACAACTGTTTGTGGGACACTGCTGTGCACAATTAGTTGCTGTGTTTCACCCACAAAATACATACTCAATCTATTTTACAATATATTCTGTGAAGCTGTTTGAGATGTCTCAATGACATGATAGAGTGCTATATCAAATGCAAGCTTTATTATATTATTATTATATTAAACTGTGACAAGTAACCTTACCAAAGAGAGGGTTGCTGCTCACCTCGGTCTTCTGCCTCTCCAGATCTTGTATAAAGCTGCTCTTCACTGCTCCTCCCGCTCCCTGCAGCAGTGACTGACTGCGAAGCCCTGGACAAACTCACACATACAAAATACGCTGGACGAGTGAGGCTTTTCACATCAATGTTCACAAAACCACCGCTGGTTTACCGGCACCTGAGCAACAACCTGATCACCAACCGGAGAGAGCTGTTCCAACCAAAGTGCTCAGTGACTGAACTAAGATAGGAGATCCCCCACCTCCACCCCGAGAGAATTCCTGCCGTTCTGTAAACATGGGCGTGCTACAGAGATTGACAGAGATGGAGCGAGTGGTTGTCACCTCCTCTCATTACAGTGCCCCGCTTCCTCACTAATATGCAGTCAGGACTCTGAAATTCCAGCCAGCTGTTTGGTCTAAAAATTTCAAACGACGCCCATTTGTGGAAAACTCTTCAATCCGGCCTGCACTAGGAAGCCACTTACTTTTTTTAAAAAAACTGCAGAAAAAAAAACAGCTTCGAAGTCAAGGGTTGTTTTTTCAACAACTCTGCAACATCTTGTGTCAACCTGACTCAGTATTAGCGCTCTCGCCTCCAAGTCAGAAGCTTGTTGGTTCAAGCCCCACGTCGGGACTTGGACTCACATAGTCTAAGCTGACACCTCAATGCAGTGCTGCGGGGGGGTGTTGTATTGTCGGAGGTGAGATGTTCAGGTGGATGTTAAAGATCCTATGGAACTATGCGGAAAAGAGAAGGGAGTTTCCCTCTCCCAGTGTCCTGGCCAGAAATCCCCCAAATAAAAATCGTTCATTCACATCCTGGCTGTTTGTGAGACGTTACTGAGTGCAAATTGGCTGCCACTTTCATCCACAAAACACAGTGTATTTACAATACATGGAGACTACACTTTCCCTGGCAAGGGGTGGGATGTTACAGACCCTGGATTAGATGTGGGAACTGTTAGCTAGTCCGGCAGTGATTGATATGGTCCTCACCTGTTTTGTTTGGTTGCAATGTTTCAATTCGTCCAGAAAGTGGCGGAATTGCACGTTTCCCAGCAAAGGTTGTGAAACGAGTAAAGAGGCAGAGCTGATTATATCAGACACTGAATATTTGACGTATTTTAGTCCATCATTTTAAATTCTGTGGGTTCCTGAGTCTCTTCAAAGCAGCTGATAATAGCACCTCTGGAATTTCCATGTGTAGGTGGGATGCGTGGAACTCTGTTTGGTTTGGATACTCTTAAGCACAGTGATGGGTTTCCATATGTGTCAGACACCCGGCTGATCCCCAAAATTAGGACCTAATTTGTCAATAAACAGATACACCCAGATATCATTTCTCCCATATATTTAGAGACAAATATCGTAGCCAATTGTGTCAGCAAAAATCTAGATGAATTATCAGCCAGGATCCCAAGAGAAACTCCCTTCATTTTTCATACAAGATCTTTAACGTGCAACTGAACAGGTAGACAGAACCTTGGTTTAACGTCTCATCTGAAGGAAGGCGGATCCGACAATGCAGCACTCCCCCCAGTACTGCACTGGAGCATCAGCTGGACTCAAGCCCAAAGTCCCGACGTGGGGCTTGAACCCCAACCATCTGACTCAGAGGCGAGAGTGCTACCACTTAGCTAGGCTGACGCACAAGTCAAACCAAGATTGACAACGTAAATCAGAACAACCTTGGGTGGTGATTGCTGTAGTCCAGCATAGCTGATGACAGACCAGCCAGCCGGGCTCAGTAATAAAACGTGGGAAACATTCTTCCCATTCAGCTCCTGTTAACCCTGCAAGCCGCAGCTCTAACAGGTAGGGCGGGTGACAAGCAGTGAGAAAGCTTGCCAGGCAGTGCTCTCAACAGCAAGCAATATGGTTTTATCTGGTTGGACTCCCAACAATTACCCCAACGCACACTTTGGGGTCGCCCAAGCCTTGGCTCTTGCCCACCTGTGCCTAATACTCTCCAGAATTAAACAGGATACGTCCCTCCAGGGAGAGAGGGCGCATTCCATTCCAAACACAGGAATTTCCATGTGTAGGTGGTATTCAGCCTGGGGTAGTTCTGGCCTGTGTCACACACCCGGCTGGCCAAAATAAAAACTGCATCAGAAAGTCAAGAGGAAATTAATAATAATAATAATCCTTGCATTTGATATAGCGCTTTTCACGTCGGGAGGACATCCCAAAGCACTTCACAGAACACACTGTAAAGTGAATTGACTGTATATTTGTGGGCGAACGCGGCAGCCAATTGCGCACAGCAATTTCCCACAAACAGTCGTAGATTGAAAATGACCAACTTATTATTGTTTTTGGTTTTTGGAGGGATTATTAAAAAGCTATCAGAGAGCAATTAATCTATGGGCACGGGGGAGTGCAGAATTGCTCGATAAACAGGGTCAGTCTGGACCTGGGTGATATTCTACCCATATATTTGGGAGACAAATATCATTTATTAGTTACTTTGAGACTGTGCAGATGGACCAATTTTTGGGGGTAAAAAGGTGTCATTTTATTGAAACCATTTGTTTGCTGGCCTTCAATCAGTAGACCCGTGGTGCAGGATAAAAATAATAATCCTTACATTTGATATAGCACATTATCAGGTTGTTGTTCAGGTGTCAAAGCGTTTCACAGAATATATTGTAAAGTGTAGTGTCTGTGTTTTGTAGGCAAAATCCAGTAGACAATTTGCACACGGCAGCATCCCACAAACAGCTATGGAGTGAGTGATTAATTTTATTTGGGGGATTGTTGACCAAGATCCGAGGAAAGAGAAACTCCCTTCTCTTTTCAAATAGCGCCACAAGATCTTTAACGCCCACATGAACTGGCATCTTGATTTAAAGTCTCATCCGAAGGATGGCACTTCCAACAATACAACACCCTCCTGCACTGCATTGAAGTGTCAGCTTAGACTGTGTGATTCCAAGACCTACCGTGGGGCTTGAACCCACAACTTTCTGACTCCGAGGCAAAAGTTCTACCACTGAGCACGGACACACATGAACACGGAGAATGGATGAGAAGGGACAAACCCAGAGCAGCTGCTGGACATGGTGTACCAGACTACATCTCATCCGAAGGACGGCACCTCTGACAATAATAATAATAATAATCCTTGCATTTGATATAGCGCTTTTCACGTTGGGAGGATGTCCCAAAGCACTTCACAGAACACACTGTAAAGTGAATTGACTGTATATTTGTCGGCGAACGCGGCAGCCAATTGCACACAGCAATGTCCCACAAACAGTCGTAGATTGAAAATGACCAATTTATTATTGTTTTTGGTTTTGGAGGGATTATTATTAGGCTCTGTGTGGAGTAAGGAAACTTGCCCAAGGTTTCGCCCTGACTGGAATCGAACTCAGGTCTCTCGCTTGCAAAGCGAGTGCTCTAACCACTGAGCTACAGGACTCCAGGCAATACAACAAAACCCAGCACTGCATTGAAGTGTCAGTTGAGAGTGAGAGGGCGGGGGTGGGAGGGGGAAAGCTAGAAGTGGGGAAAAAGAGAAGTGGGGGTTCGCCCACACACCAATGTTCCCTGACCATGGCTAGCCTAAAAGCTGAAGATTTTCAACAACAAAAATTACAAATTGAACACATTTGAAAAAGTTTAAAAGTTTTTATTCATAAAAAGTCGAGGGACAGGGGACACTTTGGAGAGAGGCTCTGACTTACTTAGCTTCCTGATCTGTGTTACAGAGCTCACCGAAACCCCGTCACTAATAATAGCAGAGCCTACCACCGCCTGGCAGAGGACAGTTTTTACTTTTAAAAAAGAGACGTTTCTGACACCCGAGACTTCTAAACGGCAGCGAGGTTGCCCTTCAGAGAAGATTTTGAGAATAACAAATCAGAAAGATGATTTTTCCTCCTTTAAACCATGAATTAAATCAAAGGGGGAAAGATTTGAGGATCTTTAAACACTGTTATATGTCCAAGTCTCATCTCTCTCTGCCTCTCTCATCTTGGCTTCTTGCCTCTGGCTGCTTTGGCAAAAAGCGTTGGGTCGATTTCGTCCTTGGACATTCCTCGTACAGAGAAGAGCCTTTCTGCACGTTCCTGTAAGGTGCCTCCACACTTTAACCCCAGCCCCATCAGCTCAGTCTTCAACCTCTCCAGACCTAGGCTTTCAACTTCCCCGGCAGAGTCCAGCGTTCTCCAGTCCAATGGTTCTGGCTCCTAAAGGGAGGAATAAATACACATTCGTTAATGGTTAAAGCCTGTGGTGTTTGGGTGGGGAGAAAGGATGATACTACTGTTTTGAATGAGGATAACTTGGCTATTGCCACCTGGTCTTTCACTCGCTGAGTGGGGAATGTGGATTGGTAAGTGAAGGTTGTGTACTTATACTTAGTCTCCAGACCCTTTTTTTTAAGTCAGCTAATACACAAGGAAACCCAGCACCATGCTAAAGGTCTTGAAACCCGAGAATCCACACATGTACAACTGCAGTTTGTCGGGTAAGGAATGTGCACTACCCCCCAGGCAGCCTCGCCTACTCCCACAGTTTAAGCACAGTTTGGCAAGAGTTTGACGGCGCCAGAGTGTGTGTTGCAGTTATACGTTGGGGTACTGCTGGAATTTCACCACCTAAAACTACACATTTGCTATTACATTACCTATTACCCATTTCCTCTGACATGCTTTCAGCTGTTTGTCCAGTTGTCAAGACCTACTGTTAGGATTTTCATTTGCAGGGTTAACAAGTGCCAAGTGGGAACAATTCAGTTCTGTCTCTGTTCTGCTCCTCCAGGTCCTGCTAACACACCAGACTGGTTGGTCATCATCAACAGTGCCTCAGGACTGCTGGACTGCCTGGCTCAGGACTGCTGCAGACCATTGACTGGATTCCGATCCTGTACTGGGGAGAGTGTAGTAACCGTGTGCATTTGGCGGGTGAACAAGGCAGCCAATTTGCACACAGCCATGTCCCACAAACACCCATGAAGTGAGTGACCAATTATTTTCAGAAGTGAGCACTATTTGATAACTGACACATTACACACATTAGTAATGCACTATATAGTCATTATATAGAACAGGGAGGGCTAAGTTTCGGCCCTTGTGACTATTCTATGCATGTGTAATGCACCCTGCAAGTTGGCCATCCTCGATATAGAAATGCTTTTCAGGAATGCTTTCCATTGAAAATGGATATGAAAACTTGGCACATTTATTATTATTGATAATAATGCTTGAACTTGCCTATAAAATCAATGTCTCAAACCTTTTACAGGGAATCAACAATATAATAACCATTACATTTGATACAGCGCCTTTCATAGGAGGACGTTTCAAAGCCCTTCGCAGGATATGCTGTAAAGTGCAGGGGCTGTGCATTTAGTAGGCAAATTGTTGTAAAGTGGGGCTTGAACCTACAACCTTCTGCTCCTGAAGCAGGAACACTGCCAGGGTATTTGGGGGATTCCAAGAATAGGAAAACTGATGCAGAATGCAACTGCATCATTGCTCAAAGGCACAGCTCTATCTAGTGGGGAAATGGAGCAACCGCATTCCCCACTCAGCCAGTGAAAGACGAGGTGGCAAAGTAATCAGCACTGGAGCTCACACACAGCCAGCTGGTGTGAAAACAGAGGTTGCAGTGAAATAGTCACAGAAATTACGCCTCACCAAGCCTTCTGCTGGTGATAGCTACTCCATGAGAATGTGGCTTCCTGTAGGGTAGTGGCGGAATGCTTGCCGGGGATAATATTCCTTTCCCCCCCAAAAAAATGAATAAATAAATTTGGTCACTCAATCCATGTTTGTGGGACATTGCTGTGCACAATTGGCTGCTGTCTTTCGTCCACAAAATACAGTCACTACAATTTCCAATATATTCTGTGAAGCACTTTGTCTCTGGAACTCTCTCCCACAAAATAATAATAATCCTTGCATTTGATATAGCGCTTTTCACGTCTTCTTGACATCTCAAAGTGCTTCACAGAATATGCGGTAAAGTGAATTGACTGTATATTTGTGGGCGAAATGCGGCAGCCAATTGCACACAGCAGTGTCCCACAATCAGTCGTGGATTGAAAATGACCAATTTATTATTGTTTTGTTTTGGAGGGATTATTATTAGGCTCTGTGTGGAGTAAGGAAACTTGCCCAAGGTTTCACCCTGCCTGGAATTGAACTCAGGTGTCTCGCTTGCAAGGTGAGTGCTCTAACCACTGAGCTACAGGACTCCATGCTGTGGAAGCTGGATCCATTCACATTTTCAAGATTGAGGTGGATAGATATTTGTTAGGTTAGGGTATTAGAGATACGGGGAAAGGGTGGGTAATTGGACTTGAGGTACAGATCACCCATGATCTTATAAAATGGCAGAACAGGCTTGAGGGGATAAATGGCCTACTCCTTTTTCTATGTCTCAATGACATGATAAGGTGCTATACCAAATGCAAGGGTTATTATTTATCCCAATTATCTTCTTTCCCCATTCAGCCCCTTGAGCCTGTTCCAACGTTCTATTAGATCATGGCTGATCTGTACCTCAACTCCAATTACCCACCTTTGCCCCATATCCCTTTATACCTTGACCTAACAAAAATCTATCCAGTTCAGTCTTGAAAATTCGAATGGATCCAGCATCCACAGCTTTTGGGAGAGAATTCCAGATTTCCACTAACCTCTCTTGGTAGCTACCCTAGTAAATTCCTTTATCATTTTGAGCACTTCAATCAGATCACTCCTCAGCCTACTAAACCCAAGAGAAGTTTATGCAACCTGTCCTCATAATGTCCTCATAGTGACAAGCTTGTAACTAACTACCAAGCCCTTGAGTGATGACAGCATGGATCAACTGATACCTGAATTTGCCTGTTTGCAGTACTAGTGTATCATCTAAACTCATGGTCTTTTTGGTTTGTCTGTCACTTGACGGGATAGCAATTCCCTGTTTGAGACACTGACTGCTGTATTAAATGCAAGGATTACAATTTCTTATAAATAACAAGGCACCAAAGACATATCCAACTTCCTGCAAGATGGCTATGGGTTTCGCATCTGAGAAACACAATCTGAGCAAGCATAAACCATTCCCTTCATCACCATGCAACAACAAGTAATTACATTTCTATAGCGCCTTTCACATTGGGAGGTCATCCCAAGGGGCTAGATAGTCAAGGATTTCTAGTGGAGATGCAAAGGGTGGGTACAGAAAGGCTGAAGGTCTGGTCGCTGATGGTGGCGCAGGCAGGGTGGCGGTCATGGAACAGGTCTGAGTCGGCTGAGCGGAGGGAGCAGACAGGACTGTATGGTGTCCTTCTCCAAACTCAACAGAATTCCAGAGAGATATGGTTCCATTTGTCTGGATGAATTGTGATTCCCCCCACCCCCTGGACACTCTGCTCACTTAATCCCAGGCAGTTTCGGTGTAGGTTGGTAAAAGCCACGTGTATGTGTGTGTATGTGTATATGTATATGTGTGTGTGTGTGTGCGCACTATCAACAAATCTAAAGATTTTTTTTACTAAATATCCTTCATGTGATAGTTTCCTAATGTGATCAAGTAATCTTTTCTATTCAACTTCAGGATTTATAAAAAAAAGGTGATTAAGTGTGCCAGACGTGGAGGCGAATACACTAGCCCCTGTGCACACCTGAGGGCAGGCCGGGCCGGTAGACAACAACAACAAATTACATTTGTATAGCGCCTTGCACGTGAGGACGATGTCCCCAGGCGCATGACAAAATTGAACCCTACAGTCAGTCAGTCATTAATGCAGGAGTAATTGGTGCACATCTGATCAATGGCAAATACACAGAAGCTTAAAAAAAGTTTTAAAAAACTTGACAAACAAGGCTTTATGATTTATAAAAGCTGGTTAACCATGGCAACTGTGAGAAACTAGCCAGCGATCTGAAGAAAAGCTCCTGCAATAGCTCAACTGTGGTAATTTCAGAATTCACTGCATGTGTGCCATTTCTCTACCTATTTCCCCATTCTTCCCCTCTCCTCAAGGCTGTGCAGTGCATTAGCCAATTGGCTATGTTCCCATGTCTGAAGCAGACAGTGAGTGTTATCAGCAATGTTATCTGGCCTTCTGGGAATGCAGTGGATGGTTTTCCTGCAGCCCATTTTGGAAGTCTGGCACCAAGCAGTGAGGTGGGTTTCTGGTAAACAAGTAAAGCGGCTGCAGGGAGGGAGGGCTCTGGCTTACACTGACCTGTTGCTGAACACCCTGGAGGCAGTCAACTTCACAGTGGGCATGTCTATTTGCCAAAGCCCCTCAAGTAAGAACCTCACAGTGACTGGCACATCACAAGCTGTCCTGTAAAGGTCCTCCCACATGCTGAGACAGATGTCTGTCACCAACAGCTGATGAGGAAACTCGGAGGCTTGGGGCGACCGCTGCTGGAAGGCATTACCTGGAGTCTGGGTTTGTGCCTGAAATCTACCTTGATTGGTTTGCAGAGAGGTAAGCATCTGCTGCTCAAGCTTTGCACCTGCAGCTGGTGATACCATCGCTCAACGTACAGGGATGTGTGTCCGAGTTGTGGACAGGAAGATGAGGCCAATACTCTCACCCATTTCATGCTGAGCTGTGCTGTTCACCAGGAAGCTTGCAATGTTCCTGGCACCTGCCATCCAACTAGTGAGGCTTCAAACCTGCCAGGTGGGTCCATAGTACTTCAGGGCACTGCTGATGACAGACCAGTCTTGGTCATCAGCAGGACCTGGAAGGCCAGATCAGTCACTGGGGGCAGGGAATCCTCCCACTCCGCTCCTGTTAACCCTACAATCCAATGCCAGTGCTTTCAATGCCAGACAATGCTTTCAAAGGCAAGCTATGTGGTTTTAATTGGTTAAACACTTGCAGTTACCCCAACACACAGCCTGGGGTCCTCAAGCCTTGGCTCATGCCAGCGTGGGCATAATACTCTCTGTAATTAGGATGCATCCCTCCAGGGAAACAGTGTGCATTCCATTCTTAAACAGGAATTTCCATGTGTAGGTGGCATACATACATGGAACTGTTCATCTGCTTTGGATACTCAAGTGTGAGGATGGGTTGCTGCATGTGTCAGACACTCGCTCTGACTTTTCACAACTGACTGCATGCAGAGTCACTGTGAGATCAGACTTACTTGTCAAACTGTACCCAGTACAACTTTGCAACTCTTTTTAGCTGTAGTGGATGGATGAATACATCATTCAACGGCAAACTGTATAAACACCTGAGCAGCAAAGTATTAATTTCTAGAAGGAAAGATTAATTTTCTTTACAAACTGAAATTGATGAAAATGGCGAGGCCAAGGCACTGGGACATTGGTCGGAGTTCCTCTGAGCATTTCCAGCAGAAAAGCAGCCATTTTACCCCACAAGTTAGGTCAGGAGTCAATCTGTTACAGTAATCTAAATGGCTTCTCTTGAAGGGTAGACACACCCACAGTAATCCAGGCTTGACTGTGGATTCCATTTGTAACTTGAATGTTTGATATAGTGCCTTATCACTTCATTGAGACGTCGCTAAGCACTTCAGAATGTACTGTAAAGTGAATTTATTGTATATTTTGTGGGCAAAATGTAATTCTACAATGCTGAGGGGGGGAAAGAGAAATTGAATGACTTATTCAAATGTGTTCTAGTGTACTGAGAGAATAGGGGGAAAAGGGGGAACATAGCTGAAAAAAACAAGAACGAGTCACTGTGCACAACACTTGTGACATGTACCATGATGTGACAACACGTAAGCTGTAATTTGGGTCCATCTTGACTTGATATCACACATGCTGAAGCTCGTGTACAGTCCCACCCTTTCTCTAACAAAGACTAGGTAGAAAACGAGTGTTTTGCCCACAAAATAGTAGAGTTTTGTAGTGTAGTGGTTAGAGCACTCGCCTGGCAAGCGAGGCATTCGATTCCTGTACGGGGTGAAACCTTTCGCAAGTTTCCTTACTCCACATGCCTCTGTTCACCTGGCAGAAAGTAGGAACTTGATTGTTAGTCAATTGACGGATACTTTCCAGGTGGAATAATCCCTCCACCACCCGAAAAAAAATTTGGTCACTCAATCCATAACTGTTTGTGGGACATTGCTGCACGCAATTGGCTGCCAGATTTCACCCACAAAATACAGTCACTACAATTTACTGTATATTCTGTGAAGTGCTTTAAGAAGTCTTGAAGACGTAATAAGGTGCTATATCAAATGCAAGGATTATTATTATTATTAATTGCTTCTAGAAGCTGGTTCAACTCGAGAAAAAAAAGCAGCAGCAAAAAAGTGGCAATAGGTGACTTTTGTAAGCCGTGGCATCTCAGCTGCCAGAAGGCGTTTCAGTGCAAAAGGAAATAGGCTGTGTGAGCATCCCTCACATCACTGCCTCGTCTGGTCACAAGCTTTTCTATACGCTCTACATGGTAAACTCAAGTCAAGTTGGTGTTGGACTTGATGCTGTCTGTCTTGCAGTTCTCCACAAACATCAGTGCATTGCACAAACATCAGCATACCTTTCAAATGTGTATTCCGAAAGCTCGGATTTAAGGCAGCACAGCTCCTGGTAGCAGGAATGTGGATTGTGAGCTTTCACAGGCTGGCGATTATCTATTTGGATTGCAGAATTTACAAACAAACCTTTGTGGTGCAAAGACAAAAGTCACGCAGCTCCAATAACCGCCACCTCTATGTATGTGTAAGCACGCCTGAACTGATATTTGGGTTTTGGCTGGCTCAGTTTGCCAGGCAATTAAAAGGAACAGACTTTGTATAGTGCTGTTTAGAGAAAGTTTGTGTGAGCAGATTAGGATCTTGTTTATATGAATAGCCAACGCAATGTTGGTTCTGACAACATCTGACCCGTCAGTATTGATGTAACAAATTACGTGCTTTTTAATGTTTCAGCCAATTCGATGGGAAAGCAATCTGACCAGATTCACAGCTTGCACCGTCTCACAATGCAGTACGCCAGGTGCTTTTACTGAAGGGGCGGTCTATCACTATACAGTCACTCCACTCCACAGTAAAATCCTGTAAAGTGACATCTTGACGATCTACTAAAATGCTATACCAAATGCAAGGATTGGTATTACATTATTACTGACCCAATATTTAAACCTGACAATCAAAGGGACATTTGTAATCCTCTCCAGAGCACCTGCTTTTCATTCAGCACTCACTCTGGAGTGAAGAGCTGCGCCAACTTGGAGTTGGGTCTCCGAAGAATGTAAGTCAGGAAAACTGCCTGTTCCAGATACCCAGTTGCCTCCAGACATCCCAATTGCCCATTAGGTGTGCGTGCTGGAGTTTCACCATCTAAAATCCAATCCTACAGTCTTTAATGCAGGAGGTGTACAGGCCATTTAGCTTGCTATTGTAAACACTGCCCTGCAAAATGCCCACTGCTTGGGCTACGATCACAATACCCATTAGGGCTTTGGTTTGCAATAGGAGTGAAGCGAGAATAATTGATCCCAGGGTTTATCATAAATAATAATAATAATCCTTGCATTTGATGTAGCGCCATATCACATCTTCGAGTCACCTCAAAGCGCTTCACAGAATGCACTGTAAAGTGAATTAACTGTATATCTTGTGGGCAAAACACAGCAGCCAATTGCACACAGCAGTGTCCCACAACAGTTGCGGATTGAGTGACCAATTATTATTATTGTTTTATTACCCCCGGAAAAGCAATCTGCCAATCGACTAACATCCGGGTTCCTATTTATTGCTAGGTAAACAGAGACATGTGGAGTAAGGAACCTTGCCCAACATTTCACTCTGACTGGGAATCGGACACAGGTCCTCTCGCTTGCGAGACGAGTGCTCTCACCACTAAGCTACAGGACTCCACAAGTAAATAAGATAAAATAAGGCCACAACACTCCACTTCATAAAGAATGCATGATACACGTACAATACAGAGGCTGTACCAAAAAACAGGTACTTAATTTTACAATAATAAAATCCCATAGTTCTTTGAAATGTCTTCCTGACACAAAAGTCACTATGTCAAATGTAAGGATTATTTTTACTAAATCCACCATGTGAGAGTTTCCTCATGTGAATTACAGTAACCTTTTCTGTTCAACTTCAGGATTTTAAAAAGTAACATCACAGAAAAGAAAGGTGATTAAACGTGCCAGACATGGAGAGGGAATACACTAGACCCTGTGCACACCCGAGGTCAGGCCAGTAGACAAAATCCAACCCTACATTCAGTCAGTCATTAATTCAGTACGGGCCATTAATGGATATAATGAGACAGACTGCGGGACAATGGGCTACGTGCTGAATTCTGATCAATGTCAAATACACAGAAACTTAAAAACAAGTTTAAAAACCTGACAACTGCGAGAAACTAGCCAGTGACCTGAAGAAGCACCTGCAAAAACTAATCTATGTTTTTTTATTTCATTTCTCTGCCTATTTTTCCCACTCCCATCTCGCTCCTGAAGTTGCACTGTTAGTCAAGTGGCAATATTGCCACGCCTGAATCAGACAGTGAGCTATATCAGCCTGCTGTCCTTGGAATAGGGGTCGGGGGGGGTTTGGGGAAAGAGCAAGCAGAATCTGCCCTCACTACATTTACACACTTCGAGCAGGGGGCACTGACTATGACCATGCAAATCTGGTGCATGCACTGACATACTGATACACACAATCCTTTTCGGTTTTGTTTTGGCTTTTATTTGGTCATTACCAGCAGTAACAGAGACCCGGAGATGCACAAATCAACTCTGTTCCTGAAATTCTATGTTATTGGAAATGTGTGTTTGTACAAACATCGTATCATCCTGTCCTGGAGTCCAGTAGTGTATTGGTTGGAGCACTCACCTCGCAAGCGAGAGGACCTGTGTTCGATTTTACCTAGCAGTAAGTAGGAACCTGGTTGTTAGTCGATTTGGAAGATCACTTTTCCGGATAAAAATCCCTTCAATTTTTTAAAAATAATAATTTGGTCACTCAATCCGTGATTGTTCGAACACTGCTGCCGCGTTTCACCCACAAAATGTACAGCTATTCTGTGAAGCTCTTTGAGACATCTCGAAGACGTGATTAGGGGCTATATCAAATGCAAGGATTATTACATTATTATCATCATCATCATCGTGATATTAACGCAACAAGACTCTGACCACAGTTTCACTACTGAATAAATAAATAATAAAAAATAAAAACCTGGGAAACCCTGGGAGATTGGACGGACTCGTCAAATTTTACCCAGTGTAACTTTGTAAGATGATAATAATCCTTACATCTGATATAGCGCTTTTCACGTGTTCTAGACATCTCAAAGCGATTCGCAGAATATACTGTAAAGTGAATTGACTGTGTATTTGTGGGCGAAACGCAGCAGCCAATTGTGCACAGCAGTGTCCCACAAACAGTCGTGGATTAAGTAACCAAATTATTATTGGTTTTTTTAAAGGGATTATCATGCCTGGAAAAGTGATCTGCCAATCACCTAACAACCAGGTTTCTACTTACTGCTAGGTAAACAGAGCGATGTGGAGTAAGGAAACTTGCCCAACATTTTGCCCTGCTGGGAATAGAACCCAGGTCTGTCGCTTGCGAGGCGCATGCTCTACGCTGAGCTACAGATGTAGTGGATTGCCAAATAAATCACTTGAGCAGTAAAAGTTTTAATTTACAGAAGGAAAGCGCTATCAAGTAGGATTAATCAAAATGGTGATTTAGGAAAACGGCAAGCAGTGACCACAACACATACACGACAAATCAAATGGCTGTGCCGAAAATTTCTAAACTTACTTATAAAGCAAGAGCCTTAAACCTGAAAGGGTCCAACACTCTCCCAAAATACAGTGGATTAGAATTTAAATGGATTTTGTTATGTAGCTAATCTGCACCAGCAAGTCCCATAAACAATGAAATGAGCAGCAAATTAATTTGAATGTGGGGGCATATTTGGGTAAGGAAGGGAATAAAAGACAGGATAACTCCCTGAAAAAATAGGTTTCTGTGAGGGGGGATTTGGGGGAAGCTTTAAATGCACCTGAATCACAAGGGAGACTAGACTAGAACAGGGGAGGAACAATATGTGGTATGTACACAAAGAGGGCTCAGTGTTTACCATCAACTTCACACAGACTGGCCTTTGGTAAATATTTAATGCCTCTTTCATTTAGCTCGTTTCCCAAGTTAGTTTGCAATTTCCACAGAAGGTGGAAGTCATCAATCAAGCCAACGGCTGAGACCTGATGGGAGTGGACAGCCTTTGATGTCTGCTCTCTATATAATGTGTTGTGTCTGGAGTGTAGACCCAGGGCAGCTTTTACCTGCTGGAGTTTGTCTGTAACCAGCACTTCTTCCAGACATAGAAAGACCTTGTTACAAAATTCCCTCAAAACAATGGCTAATAGCATCCATGGTTGGACTACCATGTTATTGGGCTTTGTCATATGTGCCGTTTGGGCTATTCCTGCAGATGCCACGTCCCATGATGATATTAAATATGCCATGCTTCGGACACTGGGATTAAAAGAGATTCCAAAGATTGAGAAGAGAGACCTGGAGAAGATGGTCATTCCGGCTCATGTGAGGAACAGATATATCTCCATGCTGCACCTTCACAAAGACAAGGAGAGGAAACGCAGAGCGCTGCCCAGCCTGGCTGGCATTTTACGGGGGGTTTCCGGCAATGCAGGTAAATAACTATTTCAATTCACTGCATTACTTATAACAACTATCCTTGCATTTGATATAGCAAATTTCACATCTGGAGGAAGCCCTGAAAGCACTTCACAGAATTACTGTAAGACTGTGTATTCTGTAGCCAAATACAGCAGCTAATTTTTGCATCTTGCAAATACCCACAAAGTGAGCAACCAATTTTATCCGGGGGAGTTGCTGGCCAGGACACCAGGATCTCTTTACGTTTTTCTGATACAGCGGTGGGATCTTTACATCCACCTGACCAGGACTTCAGTTTACTATGAGATAATAGGTATAGCATCACAGCACAAATTTACAACCTGAGTATAAAGTATTTCTCTCCTCTTTCATCTCCTAAAATTATGCTAAATGGGACAAAAACACTTTATTCAGAAGGATACGTTTCATTTCATTTCTGACCCCAACAGTGATTTTTAACAAAGTGACTGTTGCATTGAAAATGTTTTATTTTCATTCTATAATAATCTTAAATGCCAATAACTCAGAACCTCTGCTATTCAGCAGTTATTTTAAGGAAAGCTGTAAATTTAAAGCTGTGGAATGAGGTGTAATTGACGGTTTGCATTCTTCCCCTTTCACAGACACGACGGGGGAAGTGCTCTACTCTGACCCCACCAGACAGAGGCTGGTTTTTGATATGAAGGGTCTGATCCCCAAGAACAGCGAGGTGACCATGGCGGAGCTCAAGCTCTTCAAGAAAGGCGTCCACAAGGGAGACCTGCCCCTGAGGAAACATCACCGACCTGTCCACAACGCCAGAGTCAGTGTGTATTGGGTCAAAAGCCTCCCTGATGGCACCAACAGGACCTCGCTCATCGACTCCAGGTAACAGAGGGAATCTTTTAGTTTATATTTATCTGGGGGTTAAGCTGAACCGCCTACTCCGTCCGCACGGAGAGAAGTTCATGTAACTAGAGGATTGGTGAAAAAAGGAGAGAATGGTGACTGCATCGCAGGTAAACGCAAAGCAAAAGGCGCCCGGGAAAAATGTCTCTTCAATTAAAAAAGGAAATCATCTGTTTATAGCCTGCGTTAATGGTGCATTTCCTCATTTAATGTAAGCTTATAAGTCCTGCTCTAAAGAAGGGAGAAGATAAATTAATTGGCTTTGCATCACAAAGCTGGGTGTGAATTAACAAGACATTCTTCAGGGATCTGGTAAAATCTCATTCCTGTCTGTCTGGGACCATTACAATAGGATTTGGGTTTCTATTGCTGGTTTACATTAAGGGCTGTTCAAAACAGCACAAATTGTTTATATGCCTTCACTGACCATTTCCCTCCTCTTCCTCCACCCCCACTTTACTCCATTTCAATACACTTTACAATATATTCTGCGAAGCGCTTTGAGACGTCTCAACATCGTGATAAGGCGCTAAATCAAATGCAAGGTTTATTACACAATCTCATTACAATCTACAGCTCTAAGTAACTTTGACATTACTGACTGCAGACAGAGTTGAATTTTAGAACTTTAAAAAACATGAACAAAAGATTACAAAGCGATAAACGAACAACAGGCCTCAACTAAAACGATTTGCCCCACAGAAATGCAGATCCCTTCAGAAACACAAAACCAGCCACAACCATCAGTGTGCACGTCCAAAAAGCAGGATTTGTTGTGCATATTACAAAATGGTTAGATAGGTATCTTTGCTAAACGAACTCCAGTCTTGTTTCACAATTGTGGTCAGGATCAGGTAGTTTTGATATTATATACAAACATGATCAAAATGTTTTTTTAACAATAAAAAATCCCTACATTTGGTATAGCACCGTTCACTTCAGGAATATGTCTCAGTGTTTCACATGACATACTGTATAGTGACTATGTGTTTTGTAGGCAAACGCAGCAGCCAGTTTGCACATAGCAACGTCCCTCAAACAGCAGTGAAATGAACTAATTTCATTCTCTAATGTGTCTCTCAAATTTCCTTTTGAATTTGCAAGCAAACCGCATTTTTTTTTGCTTTCAGACATATGTGACTTTAGCCCTTCTCCTGCTGCCTCGACTTTTTATTGCAAGTGCAACTTTTTTTTAAAAAATGTGTATACATTATATATGTGGAGTCCTGTAGCTCAGTGGTTAGAGCACTCGCTTTGCAAGTGAGAGACCTGAGTTCAATTCCAGGCAGAGGGCGAAACCTTGGGCAAGTTTCCTTACTCCACACACCTAATAATAATCCCTCAAAAAACCAATAATAAAATTGGTCATTTTCAATCTACGACTGTTTGTGGGACATTGCTGTGCGCAATTGGCTGCCGCGTTCGCCCACAAATATACAGTCAATTCACTTTACAGTATATTCTGTGAAGCGCTTTGGGACGTCCTCCCGACGTGAAAAGCGCTATATCAAATGCAAGGATTATTATTATTATTATTATTATAAAATCACATGAGGGCATATCTATTTACCCCAGTTCCTCTGAAGGTGGCATACTTTCAGGTGCGTGGCAGCAGTCATCCAGTCACTGTGCTGAACAACGATTCTCACTCTCTTAACAGATCGACTTATTTTACCATCACAAATTTGTGGAAATCAAACTTGGGGCTTGCCTGTAGGGCTCACCCATATGCTGGATTATCAATGAACCATTTGTTTTGATTCACAGATTGGTTCCAATCCTCTATTCTGGGTGGAAAAGTTTGGACGTCACCCAGGCCGTGCATTACTGGATGAAGAACGCGAACACGCCCATGTACCTGGAGATCTGGGTGGAAGCGGAGAGAGTGGGCAGCTATGCAGCTGAAGTGGCCAAACACGTGCATTTTGGCACCCAGGGCCCAGCTGACAAAATCATCGGCAAACCCGAATTGGTTCTGTACACCCTCAACCTTGAAGAATATGGGTAAGTTTTCACTGCGATTCCAGGGCACACGCTCACAGTCAAGTGAGATCATTCACTGACCCCTCTCACACACAAAGTCATTTCTCCACTAATATTATGCACTGAATACAGTGCATTTTATTGAAATGTATCAGAAAATCAAGTATCAGAAAATAGCCTTCCCCCTCCTCCTCCAAAAAGGAAAATAAATTCAGTTTTTTTTATAAACTTTTAAAATTTTTGGCCAGAGTGGTGAATAAGCATGAAATCAGATTTTTCCGATTGAAAGATTATTATGTTCCACACCCTACATTCCTCCAGAATCTATTCAACAACGACAAATGCAAAAAAAATGCAAATGCTAGTTTTTCTCAGTGAGGGTCAATAATACTCAAGCTGCTCCCTTAAGTGATAACTAGCAGATTGCTTTCCCTCCAAAAGAACAAACAAAAAAAATGTGGTCACTCAATCCACGACTGTTTGTGGGACACTGCTGTGCGCAATTGGCTGCCGTGTTTTGTGCACAAATACACAGTCCATTCAATTTACAGTATATTCTGTGAAGCACTTTGAGACATCTCAATGACTTGATAAGGCACTATATCACATGCAGGGAATATTATAATTATATCTTACAGTACAAGCTTGTACAGGTGCCCATCGTCCTTTACTTATCCTGCTAATGCTCTTTATTTAAAGTGGAGCCGGTGACTGCAGAGTGAAGAAAAGCGGGATGTGCTGCCGTCAGGAGCACTTCATTAACTTCAGGGAGCTGACGTGGACTCAGTACTGGATCATCGAGCCGCCTGGCTACCAGGCCTTCCGCTGCGCAGGGAGCTGCAAACAGCCCACCTGGCCCTTCCACTACGGGGAGAGGAGCTGTGCTGTGCTGGAGAGCGTCTCACTCCCCATCATGTACCTGGTGAAGAAGGGAGATTACACCGAGGTGGAAGTGGCCGAGTTTCCGAGCATGATCGTTGAAAAATGTGGCTGCGTTATGGACAACGCTTCAGTCATGTGACAGCAACTCCCAAGTGCAATATTACAGCTACGCATTCGAACCTTTTGGAAGAGCAACATTTACGAGCACTTAATGTAAAATAATTAAATGTATATTTTTACAGGTTCTATTACTTTTTATTTCAAACAGTAGCTGATAAATAAATTTAGTAACTTATAGTTACCAGAAATGTGTTTGCCTTTTTTTTAAAACTCCATTCCACACCAGACAGTGATTCTCCCACTCACAAAAACCATCAGACAACATCACTGAAGATTCCACCAGTTTATGACTACACTATTAATTCTCCAGGTATAGTTTCTAATGCTTTGGCATATATTTTCTCTGAAATTCCTGTTACCATTATAGAACTTGCTCTACTAATTTTAAGAGTTAGATTTCTCCATTGCACTCCTCATGAGCCTCCACTCTCAAAGATCTGACATCTGCCAGACATCCATGTTTCAATCTAGTACTGGAGGGTGACTATATCCTGTGGGCTCCAGAAGAGAAAGGGAAAATAATAGAAAAACCTATCAATTTGTTGGTCGTTCATTAGTTTGTTGGTTCGTTCATTAACACATCCCGTGCATTTGGATGGCATTTATGGTCACTTTTTAAGTGATGTCTGGAGTGTTAATTTAACATGACCCTGCTAAAATCGTCTGACATCTCAAGCATGCCATCCCTGTGTTAAGTAGTACTGTAGTGTCCGGGACAAACCTCACATTCCACATCTATAGAAACCAGACTTGGGTACAACATCTATTGGGGCTCAGTAAACAGTAGTTGGTTTGCACACAGCAAGTCTGATATACATCTCAGGAAAGCGAATCATCACAAAACTCTTTCACCATCCCTTTGGACGATGTAGAATTCTCTGAATTCCATCTGCATAGTTCTTCCCTCTGATCAGTAACAACTTGCAATAACATAGATCCCATCACATAATAATAATCCTTGCATTTGATATAGCACCTTATCACGTTGTCGAGATGTCTCAAAGCGCACGCAGGATAACATCTCAGAACGCACATATTGTACGAAATGTTTGATCTGTATACCTGATACTCTGTGCCCTTTGATAAAGTGCCATGAAATCTTTAACATCCCATGTACTGGGAGATAAGGCCTTGATTTAATGGTCATCTGCAGTACAGAATATCCAATAAATCGCACTCAGTGCTGCAATGGTGTGTCAGCCTAGCTTATGAGCTCAAGCTTGGTGCAGAGTTTGAATTCACAACCTTCTGCTCCAGCATCAAGAGTTGCACTAAACTAACACTGTATGTGATCTGTGGGATGTGATTTAGATTGAAACTGCCACACTGCACACAGCTCACTTACAACATTGGGATCAAATTTGTAATATCACAAGTCAGCCTGGCTCAGTGGGTAACATTCACGGTTGTGGGTTCAATACCCACATCAGGACTTAGAACTCACATTGGCAGTCTAATGCAGTACGGGAGGGTTTCTGCATTGTTGGCGGTGTCGTCCTTCGGATGAGTTAATCTGAGGACCCGCCTATGCCTGGGCAGATGAACTTTAAAGATCCAATGGTACTAGTCGAAAAGAGAAGGGAGATTCTCGTCGTTCTGATCGACAATCACCCAATAAAATTGGTCATTCACTTCACACCTGTTTTGTGAGGCATTGCTGTGTCCAATTGTGCCGCCGCATTTGCCAACAAATACAGAGTCACTCCATTTCACAGTAATTCCTGTGAAGCGCTTTGAGACTTCCTTCGAACAGGATAAGGCACTATATCAAACGCAAGGATTATTATTATTATGATTACACTTTAAATCGTATGTAGGCTTTGAGACATCTTCCCGAAGTGAAAAGCACCATTTCAAATGTTAGGAATATTGTAATCATAAAAATTCTGCTTTATTTAATGAACATGCTTCCTATTGAGTTGAGCCTGAATATCATTGGATGCCCATTGCATTTATTAAGGGAGGAAAGTAATCTCTCCAGGTTTATTTGTGGGATATTGAAATAATTCAGATGATGTCAGGCCTGAGAGAAAGATCAGAAAAGCAGGTTTGGGGACTTGACAATGATCCTTGCTAATGTGGGATTCAAGATGGCGCAGCCAGAGCTTTGCAACTAGGCTTGGGCACTGCGATCATTCAGGGGGCAAGGGAGAAACGAAAGAAAAACCATAGAACCATACAAATTTCCAGCACAGAAGGTCATTTGTCATATCATGTCTGTGCTGGCTCTTTTTTTCAATCCTTTAAATAAAGAATGGAAGTTTTTAAAAAGAGTATTACAATGAAGACCCCATCGTTCATTAAGAGTTATCTATTCAGTACACATGGATATAAACAGCACCTCTCACAGCTTTTCAAACTTTTCACAGCTTTGCAAGTGAGAGACCTGAGTTCAATTCCAGGCAGAGGACGAAATCTTGGGCAAGTTTCCTTACTCCACACAGAGCCTAATAATAATCCCTCCAAAACCAAAAAACAATAAATTGGTCATTTTCAATCTACGACTGTTTGTGGGACATTGCTGTGCGCAATTGGCTGCCGCGTTCGCTCACAAATATAGTCAATTCACTTTACAGTGTGTTCTGTGAAGCGCTTTGGGACGTCCTCCCGACGTGAAAAGCGCTATATCATATGCAAGGATTATTATTATTTATTATTTTCAGCAAGTGTTCCCTGTATTTAAAGAATGAAAGATGAAAAATCAATTGTCATTTCTCCCCTTGGAATTGCCATGTTAAACTTACTGTAGGAAGATGACCATGGAAAATCTCAGTTGGGAGACCAGTTGGCTTTATATATTATATCATAATAATAATCCCTCCAAAACAATAATAAATTGGTTATTTTCAATCCCCGACTGTCTGTGGGACACTGCTGTGCGCAATTGGCTGCTGCGTTTCGCCTAAAAATATACGATCAATTCATTTTACAATATATTCTGTGAAGTGCTTTGAGACATCTAGAAGAGTGTGTGTGGGTATCCATACGAATCAAATGCAAGGATTATTATTATTATTATGTGTATATATATAATCCTTGCATTTGATATAGCATCTTATTACGTTTTCGAGACATCTCAAAGCACTTCCCTGAATATACTGTAATTGATTGCATATTTTGTGGGCGAAACGCAGCAGCCAATTGCGCATAAATAGTCATGGATTGAGTGACCAACTTATTATTATTTTTTGAAAGAATATTACCCAGGGAAAAGCGATCCGCCAATCGACTAACAACCGGGTTCCTACTTACTGCTAAGTAAACAGGCGTGTGGAGTAAAGAAACTTGCCCAACGTTTCACCCTGCTGGGAATTGAACCCAGGTCTCTCACTTGCGAGGCGAGTGTTCTAACCACTGAGCTACAGAACTATATATATATTATACATAAACACACACATATACATTTTATATATATACACACACACACATACGCAAAATCACACTAGCTGTACCTGTTGCAGCTATGCTTGAAATCAGTTTCATTCAATCGGTCTTCTCTCTTTCGTCTGCCATTTTTATTTGTCCTTGAAAGATCATGCAAAACTCTGCAGCCCACATCCTCTCCCGCACTAGGCTCCGCGACCCTATCAGCCCCATCCTTGCCCAACTCCACCGGCTTCCCATCACACAGAGGATACAGTTCAAGATCCTGGTCCTCACCTTCAAAGCCCTCTACAGTCTTGCTCCCCCCTATGTCTCCGACCTCCTAACCCCCCACCGCCCTGTTCGCTCCCTCTGCTCAGCGGGCTCCGGCTGCTTCACGTGCCCCGCCTCGCTCGCCCCACTATTGGCGGGCGGGCCTTCCGCCACTCTGCCCCACTCTCTGGAACTCCATCCTGCAGTCCCTCCGCCTCGCCCCCTATCTCACCACCTTCATTACCCACCTCAAGCCCCTCCGCTTCGACCATGATTTGATAAAGCAACTTCCTCTAGATTTTGTGGCTTAGCTACAATAAACACAGATGTTTGCATCTTGAAATAAAATTTTGGGAACAACTTGAAAGAAAGATTTAAAAAAAGGACTTACTGAGCTCTTTGGCGAGTTGGCATTTTCTTGTGCATCTTCCTTCTCGTTACTCTCGCTTCTTTCTGGACTTTCTTTAATGTGCTCTCTAGTTTCAAGTTGGTTTCCGGTCTGTGAACACGAGGCTTCTGCTTGTCCTTTGCCACTTGGTTCTGGTTGTGCTGCTGGGTCCTCTTTCTCCTCTTCCCCCGCTGGCAGCCACGAGCTCCCGCTAGGGCCAGCACACTCTTTTGTGTCATCCCTGGTCCCGTTGTCCAGCCCGCCTGGCTCCACACAGCTCCCGGAGCTGGACGACGATTCATCTGTGGAGCTGCTGTCTCCTGTTTGCTCCTCATCAGAATTCCCAGAATCGTCCAAGTCTTCCAATCCCATCCTTCAAAAAAATGACACATTTTGGATATTTATTCTTTACAGTGTACAAAAGGGGCCCACTTAAATAACCTCGCTAGTGCAGTCGGCTTGTTCAAGGCAATGTGGGAAAGGAAAACTGCAGACACTATTAGTCAACAAGTAAATCAGCTGCTGTGAATTCTATAAAATAAGCCACTGAAACCTACAAATTAATAATGACAAACAGCGCCAACTACTGTCCTTGAATGGGAGCAAACCATCAGAGCACTTTTATAAAGAATGGAACTGTCATTAAATAAAACTTGCATGAGTCTTATCATTATAAATCGTATAATCGCCTAAATCCTACATTCATCCAAGTCCCATTCAGTTTCCTATCAAAACTAGTTAGATTTATTTGCACTACACATATTACTTGTAACGCCATTCCCCTACACTCCATTACCCCCATACTTACCGGCTGCTTTGAATCGCGGGAAGTGACGTTCTGACTTGACACATGCGCACCTACCGGCTAATTGCATTGAATTGCAGGAAACATAGTCTTAATCCGTCACCACATTAGCACTTACCGACTGCATTGATGAGCTACTGCTTGTGCACTTACCAGCTGCATTAAATTACGATTGCATAGGATAGATTATTGATTAAATCAGATTTTTTTACAATTTATACAGTCTGCCTGCAACTCTGACTTTAAGTAAGTCATATTAAATGCTAAGGTCCCTACTGATAAGACTTGAGTTTTACTGCATTTAATTTTGGATGGTACTACTATCTTTCCGGGCAGCGGGAAACAAAGGAGGCCACTGTAAAAGTGTCAGGTAAAATGTATCTGAAAAGCACTTGAACAAGGATCAGGAAACGGGAAGCTTTGACGTGAGAAGGCACCTGATAAAACTGCAATTAAATACTGTAAAGCTAGACATACAGAAGCCAGTTGGATAAAAAGATTCAAAAAGCTGATCATAGCTCAAACATGTGAGAAATTGTGATTTATAGATCAGATTTTATACCAATTTATTTTCAGTCCAAATATTAGCAATGATATTTATATTTGGTATAGCACCTTTCATGTCAGAAGGACGTCTCAAAGCACTTCACAGGATACCCTGTAAAGTATAGTGACTGTATATTTTGTGGGCGAACGTGGCAGCCAATTTGTGCACAACAATGTCCCACAAACAGCCCTGAAGTGAATGACCATGTGCTACTAAATGAACCAGGTTGACACATAAACATATTTTTAAAAATCTCTGTTAAGAATTATTCAATAGTGTCTGTATTTTTGCCAATGTTCTCCAAAGTACTTTCCTAAGTGGCTGGTTTGTACTTGAGTACTGTGCACTCCACCCAAACAGTCAGTCTTCACCTGTAAGCCTGAAAAGCATGAGCATGGCATTAGAACATGGAGGGCATCACAAGATCACCCATCCAGCTTGTGTGAAATGGAGTTGCGATGCTGGCAAGATCTTTTTACTTTATGTTTGCTCGTCAGCTTATGAGATGACCTACGGGATTTCCCCATATGAGACTTTGAGGTGAAGAGGCAAGTGGGATCCAGGCAAGTACAACAGGAGAGACAGAAAAAGAGACACATACTGATATACATTAAAGATCCCATGGCACTACTTTCTCCTGGTGCCCTGCCAACGATCCCCCAAAATAAATAAAAGAGGTCATTCATTTCATGGCTGTTTGTGGGACAATATTGTGTGTAACTTGGCTGCTACATTTGCTCACAAAAACACAGTCACTCCATCTGATAGTGTATCCTGTGAAGCATTTTCTCACTTCCTTACAGCACATAGGACAGGTTGCATACCCCCTGCAGCCTTGGGGCTAAAAGCAATTCAGCACAGATCAACGATCAAACCCAGATCTGTGTGACTTGCTGCTGCTCTGAGACAGGCCATCAGAGGGAGCCCTGACTCTCTCTGTGTAGTTGCTCCCACCCCTTTGTTGGGTCTTCCTGCATCGTCTGCTGTTGGTTGACTGCTTTCACTGTCTGGGCTCGGAAACAAAAATGTAGCTGCTGGGACCAAGTACTGAGGGGCAAGCCAATAGGAATCAGCAACCTTAGGATCAGTGGAATAAATAGAAATGAAGGAAGGGAGCGGGAGGGAGTATCAGGAAGTGACAGCACAAAGTTGGGAACGGGACTCTTACTTACCAAAGGCATTTCCTCTTGCCTCCCTTCGCCTCTCTCTTTGAAGCAGAATGTGGTCGCTTTCGAAGAGCTCCACCCTCAGCTGATACAACATCGGATGACGATGCTTGTAAACCTTTTTTTTAAAAAAGCCAATGAATTAAGAGGAAAGGGGAAAGCTTGTGTGCACACTATAACTAACACAACTGAGAACGTCTTAAATTTTTAATCCAGTGGTGGCCAAAATAATCAAAGAAATAATAAAATAGCATAGATTTGCCATCTATCAAGAAATATTCAAGCAAGAAATGTTTATTTTGTTGGCCAACCAAACAGGGTGGCCTCCACTGTTCCAATCCATCCCTTGGCTTTGGATTCAGAATTATTGAAACACCCCTTTCATTTTACTTTAATTATAATAATAATAATCCTTGCATTTATCATGTCGTTAAAATGTCTCAAAGTCCTACACAGGATTTACTGTGAAATGCAGTGACTGTGTAGTTTTTGGAGACAAACACAACAGCTAAATTGTGCACAGCACAGAAGTCAATTTGCATGGCAGTCAGTTTGTGCACAGTCACACAAACAACCAATTGACCAATTTTATCTGAGGATTGTTGGCCAGGACACTGCCTCCGGAAAGTGTACCACCAATCGACTAACAACCGGGTGTATTAAGTAAGAAAACCTGCCTAAGATTTTGTCCGCCTGGGAATTGAATCCAGGTTCTCTCGCTTGCAAGACGAGTGCTATAACCACTACGCTATAGGACTAATCTCTGGTTTTGTAGCTGTACCTTTAATCACAGAGTCCTCCAGGCGCTCAGATATCTCGTCCAGCTGTTGCTCGTACTGCGGGTCAGTGAAATAGTGCTTCGGCTCAGCAAGTTTGCGTTGCAGCCTCTCCAGGCGCTTTTGTTCCTTTTCTGCTTCCCGTTCTGCCTGCTTCTTTATCCATTCAGCCATACTGCACACAATACGTAAATAAGAGAAAAACAAATCACTGTTCACCTGCTTCAGTTTAGTTACCGCACATCACCAAGCAATTTGCATCTTGAGTTATACTTCCTCAGATGCAGTATTAATAATAAGAATAACCCTTGCATTTGGTGGGCAAAACACTGCAGCCAATTGCACACAGCAGTGTCCCACAAAGAGTCGTGGATTGAGTAACCAAATTTTATTTATTCATTTATTTATTTTTGAAGGGATTAATACTTCCGGAAAGCAATCCGCCAATTGACTAACAACCGGGTTCCTACTTGCTGCTAGGTAAACAGAGGCATGTGGAGTAAGCAAATTTGATTAAGGTTTCAAACCACCCAGGGAACTGAATCCGGGTCCAATCGCTTGTGAGGCAATCGCACTAACCGCTACACTACAGGACTCAACAGATGGCAATCTTGAACTGAATCCGCTGGAGGACAGGGAGCCTGGGAAAGACGGGGAGCCCCGGGGGAAGCCACCACCGATTACCTGCCGCCAACCGGAACAATATCTTTTCCCCCATCCTTTGTATCCACCTTTCTGAGGTACTCCATCCAAACCACCACATTTCCCCCCCTTCACCACCAATGGCTTCTCGACCAATTTTCCATCTGGCAACTAAAACATGTTCTGCAAATCTAAACAACATTCACAGAACTGCCTTTATCTACACTTTCAGCTATTACTCCAAAAAAACTATTCATGCCAAAAAAAACTCTTGTAGACTAGAGCAAAGTGATGGGTTTCCACACTTAGCTGACCAAAACTAAAAAGTTTGAACCGTCTTACGCTTTTTCATGGTTGACATCACGGAGTCGTCTTCCACTTAAATCACGACAAGCCTCCCGGTTTGTGGTTTTTTCGATCTGTGCTCCGAGAGCACGAAGCATTGACCCAAACCCTGTGTTGGGGTGACACAAAATTTACATTACAATGGAACATTTCTTTTCTCTGCAATCCAGTAGAATTACATAGAATATTACAGCACAGAAACAGGCCACTTGGCTCAACTGGTCCATGCTCCAGTTTATATGCCACCCAACCTTCCACCCCTCATAATCCACTCTACCACGGCTCTCTATTCGCTCAGAAGCATAACGTAAAACAAACTAATGAGTACACAGCTTGGGATAAATAATAAAATAATTATCCTTGATTTGATTCACGGTTCCCACTTTGTGGCTTTTACGATTTGTATGAAAAGGGATCAAGACAAAAGGAAAATAAACTCTTCCGATTAGACTTAAATAACAGAACGAGAGATAATAATAACAGTAATCCTTAAATTTGATATTGCACCTTTTACATTGTGAGGAAGTGTCAAGGTTTTCACAGGATATACTGCAAAGTGTATTTTGTGGATAAACATTGCCTTTTCAATTTCCTTTCAAAATCTTGCATACGCTGGGCTCACAATTCAAGGAGTGAATAGATGTTTGAACCTTACCTCCTTTCCCTCCGCAGAGTCTAGTTTCCAGACTGTAAATCCCTCCACAATGTAGCTCCCCATTTTCACTGACCAGTTTCCCATTATATGTCAGGTAAGTATCGTCAATGGGTAAACCCTGCATTGGGAAAATTAAAATAAAATTAAATGACGTCTGTTGATTTTATCAAGTGCTGCTATGGTGGGCAAGGAATAAGTGGTTATGAAGAGACCAAGACAGCAAAAGAAAAAGGGGGTGTAAATCACAAAAGTACCAAAAAAAAATTAAATGCAAAGAAAGTAAAATTGATCAAATCAACCCAGAAAGCCTATAAACCCAAAGCACTATCAAGGGACAAGCTTTCAGCCACTCTGTTCCTGCTCTCTGGAACACACTGCTTGTTTCCTCCCTCTCCACTCCAAAACCCAACTGAAAACCTCTCTCTTTGTCTGTGCTTGGGCTACCTCTCTCAACCCCAAATCGAGCTCCCAATCCATCTCTGTAAAACGCTTTGAGACATTCTCCTAGCTGAATGGCAGCGTACAGGTGCAAACTGATCTTGCTGTTTAGGCAAGCTGTGAAGAGGGGCGGAGAACACTGAAGCGTTATGAACACCTGAGGCAGCATAGTGCTGTCTCAGCACTTTAGAGGAAACTCCTGAGATCAAGTGAAGTGGTACCATCATGCTGAAGCAGTCTATAATTTTTTCAAAAAAATAAGATAAATGCTTGAAAAGCAGAAATATTAAAGGATACTGGGACCAAGTAGGGCAGTGGGATAAGACTGAGTGGCTTAGTGGAGCAAAATAACAGCACACACTAGGATTCTGCTACTGAATGGGTGGCACCTTAATCCTCATACAGAACCCTACATTTTTTTTTAATTTGGATTTTTCTGCAGTATCTGAATCCAGGCCTTGGCTGTGCTTGGTGCCTGCACAGTGCAACCAACAAGATGGAACCAGGCACTACAAAAACAAACCATTTAAACAGGGGACTGTAGAACTGTACAGTACTGTACAAAATAATCTACACATTAGATATAGTCAACACATCTATATCATTTTACAGTCTCAAAACACCTCAGGGATAATTGTTGTGAAGTGTAGCGTCTATTTGTAAGCAAACACAGCAGCCAATTTGTGCACGGCAATGTCCTATAAATAGTCACAAAGTAAATAATTAATTTATCTGGAGAATTGTTAACCAGGACATCGGAGAAACCAGGACATCAATTTTACTTTTTTCCAATATTGCCATGGGACCTTTAACATCTACCCTTACAGAAGACATCATCTCTGACAATGTATTGCGTCCCTAATACTGGAGTGTCACCATGAGCCTTTTGACCCAGCGGTGAGTGCATGACCGACTGAGCCAAGCAGACACAATCTTGGAGGAGGAAGAATTATAGCTGGAATCAAAAATTTAATTTGTAGCATAGTTTACCAAGTATAATGAATACTGCCTGTGTTGCTTCATAATTAAATATCAAACCACATCCTTTCATGTACAATGGCCAACTATCATTATCAACTATCAATAATCTCCCAAATAAAATTGGGCACCAACTGTGGCTGTTTGTAGGACATTGCTGTGCGCAACTGTCTGCCAAGTTTCGCCTACAAAATACAGTCAATCCACTTCACAGTATATCCCTTGAAGAGCTTTGAGTGTCAATGACATAAGGCGCTGGATCAAATGCAAGGAATATTTTTTATTATTAACTACAAATACACAACCAATACACTTCACAATAAAATCCTGTGAAGCTCTTTATGACATCTCAGTGGTACAATAATAATATTATAATTATTATTATAAGGCGCAGCATCAACTGCAGTGGCAATTTTTTTGTGGGGGGGCGGGGAAGCGGGGTCTCCTGGGAGTTGAACTGGCTCTGAAGAGACAACAAAATTACATTTGTAAAGCACCTTTCACATCGGGAGAACATTCCAAAGTGCTGGACCGACAGGGTTATGGACCCCACCTGGGGGTCGGGGTGCAGGAGGGGAGGGGGGGGAAACAGGGAGATTGAAAGCACGGTCGAAGAGGAAGGTATTGATATGGGTCTTGAAGGTGGTGAGGGAGGGTTCAAGGTGGAGGGACTGCGGGATGGAGTTCCAGAGGGTGGGGGCAGAGTGGCAGAAGGCCCGCCCGCCAATAATAATAATCCTTGCATTTGATATAGCGCTTTTCACGTCGGGAGGACGTCCCAAAGCGCTTCACAGAACAATGTAAAGTGAATTGACTGTATATTTGTGGGCGAACGCGGCAGCCAATTGCGCACAGCAATGTCCCACAAACAGTCGTAGATTGAAAATGACCAATTTATTGGATTATTATTAGGCTCTGTGTGGAGTAAGGAAACTTGCCCAAGGTTTTGCCCTCTGTCTGGAATTAAACTCAGGTCTCTCATTTGCAAAGCGAGTGCTCTAACCACTGAGCTACAGGACTCCACAATAGTGGGGCGAGTGAGGCAGGGGACGTGAAGGAGGCCGGAGCCCACTGAGCGGAGGGAGCAAGCAGGATGCTAGGGGGTTAGGAAGTCGCAGAGGTAGGGGGGGAGCAAGACCATAGAGGGCTTTGAAGGTGAGGACCAGCATCTTGAACTGTATCCTCTGTGTGATGGGAAGCCAGTGGAATTGGGCAAGGATGGGGGTGATAGGGTCACGGAGCCTAGTGCGGGAGAGGACACGGGCTGCAGAGTTCTGGATGATCCAGAGGAGGTGGGGAGGCCAACAAGCAATAAGTTTGCATAGTCGAGCCTCAATGTAATGAAAGCATGTATGAGGGTTTCGCCGGCCTGTGGTGTAAAAAGTGGCGGAGGACATGCGTGCCAATGAAATGTTGGAATCAAGCCAGCTCTCTGTGATGGTCTCTCGTCTGGTTCCTGAGCCAGGCACATCCGCAGTATCCCAGGGCACTGCTGATGACAGCACAACCAGCCTGGCTCATCGGCAGGGCTTGGAAGGGCAGACCAGTCACTGGGAGTCATCTCACTCAGTTCCTGCTAACCTTGCAAGCCAAAGCCCTAATGGATAGGCTGGTCCTAGCTGGACAAGCAGCAGGAAAGTTTGCCAAACAGTGCTATTGATAGCAAGCTATGTATGCAGTTTTATGATAATAATCCCTACATTTGATTTAACGCCTTATCACATCGTTGAGAAGTCTCAAGGCGCTTCACGGGATACATTGTAAAGTGAATTGACTGAACGTTTTTGAGCAAAACATGGCAGTCAATTGTGCACAACAACAACAAAAAGAAACTGCATTTATATCACACCTCTGCGTCCGGGAGCGACACCAATGTCCTACACTCGTTGTGCATTGAGTGACCAAATTATTTAGTTTTAAAAAGGGTCTTAGCTGGTTGAACTCCAGCTGCTAATCCCTCAACGCACACGCTGGGCTCCCCCAAACCAGTGTCGTTACAGCATATCCTGTGAAGCGCTTTGAGACGTCTCAGCGTCTCTTTCTGTGGCGTCCTGGAGCTCAGCGGTCGGAGCACACGCGCTTTGCAAGCGAGAGACCTGGGTTCGACTCCCGGCGGGGCGAACACCTTGGGCAAGTTTCCTGACTCCACACGCCCTGACAACAACCCCTTGATATAAAAAAAATAAATAAAATCGGCCGTTTCAATCCACGACTGCTTGTGGGACGCCGCTGTGCGCGATGGGGCTGCCGCGTTTCGCCCACAAATGTACAGTCAGTTCGCTTCACGGCACGTTCGGCGAAGCGCCGTGAGACGCCTCGAAGATGTGAAAAGCGCTGTATCAAATGCGAGGATTATTATTATTATTATTATTATTATTAGCGTTTGAAAGCGTCACGTAAAATGGAGGCGGCGGCGGCTGCTGCTGCTGCTCAGGAAAACGACCTAAAGCCTTGGGCCTAAGCAACAACAATGTGTATCTGTGTCTATAGAGAGACGGGGGAGGGGGGGGGGAGACACTAACCTGGTCCTCGCAGCACCGCCGCTTGAGGTGAAGGCCGCTGGAGCCTGGGGGTACAGTTAGGGCCTGGAGCCGGCGGCGCCCACTCCTCACCAACAGCTCCATCTCGAGCGGCGCCGTCAAAGCCCGCGGACCCTTTACGTCACCGCGCCGCGAGGGCGCGCGCGTGCGTGCGTGCGTGCGCGCGCGCGGGGCGGGCGGCCCGAGAGGGAGGAGGAACGAGCGATGAAGCGAACGCTGCTCACCTGCCACGTGATCTTCGCGTCACGTGGCGGGGGCGAGGCGGAATGGAGGTGCGACTGGGATCCGAAGCGCGCGGGAAAAGCACTCGACCGCACATGCGCGCGCACACAGGCGGGTGGCGATCCGTCCCCGGCACGTGACGGGAGTCGCTGCGTTGCTGTCTCCATTCGGACGGGAAGAGCTAATCATAATAATAATATAATTCTTGCATTTGATACAGTGCCTCATCACGTCGTTGAGACGTCTCAAATCGCTTCTCAGAATATACTGTAAAATGGATTTTGTGGGCAAATCGCAGCAGTCAGTTGCACACAGCAGCGTCCCACAAACATTTGTGGATTGAGTGACCCAATTTTTTTTGGAAAAAAGGGATTATTACCCCCAGAGAGTGATCAGCCAATCGACTAATTCCTACTGACTGCTAAGTAAACAGAGGTATGTGGAGCAAGGAAACTTGCCTAAGATTTTGCCCTGGAATCGAACCTAGGTCCTCCCGCGCTAACCATTATGTTACAGTACTCAATGTACTCGGAGTCCTCTAACTCAGTGGTTAGAGCAATCATCTCACAAGCAAGAGACCTGGGTTTGATTCCCAGCAGGGTGAAACCTTCGGCAAGTTTCCTTACTCCACACGCATGATAATAATCCCTCAAGCAAAAAACAATAATAAATTGGTCACTTCAGTTCACGACTGTTTGTGGGACATTGCTATACACAATTGGCTGCCGTATTTCGGCCACAAGTGTACAGTCAATTCACTTTACAGTATATTCTGTGAAGTGATTTGAGACGTCTAGAAGACATGAAAAACGCTATATCAAATGCAAGGATTATTATTATTACAGGACTCCACTTGTTCCACTATCAAGCTGGTTATACAGTGAGAATGGGAAACTCAATGGCCGAAGGCAATGGTTGAAGCAGACAGTAATAGATGCATTTAAAAGGAAGTGAGAAATACACGAGGGAGAAGGGAATAGAAGGGAGGGAGGAAGCCATGGGGGGTAAGAGCCATGAGGAATATAAACATGGGCATGGACTGGTCGGGCCGAACGGCCTCTTCCTGTGCTGTACAATTTACGTAAGTCGATGTAAAGTTCTGAACTGTTTCAGTCTGGGTTGTGTTCCACGGTCACAAACAGCCGCACAATCAAGTGCTCCAACCCGACCACCGTCTACCTGCTCTTAGCATTTCCGACCCATCATTGCTCTCCTTTCCCTCCCTTGCTCTTGATTGCCTTCCTCCCCCTCCCTCCCTCGCCTCCCCCTCCCTCCCTCGCCTCCCCCTCCCTCCCTTGCCTCCCCCCCCCTCCCTCGCCCCCCCCTCCCTCGCCCCAAACTGCTTTCCATTGCCTCCCTTCCCCTCCATCGCTCTCCACCGTCCTCCACTCCTTCCCCTCCATCGCACACACCCCCCCCCCCCCCCCCCCGGCCCCCCTCTCCACCGCCTTTCCCCTCGTTTTCCCTCCATCGCCACCCGCCCTTTCCATTCCATATCTTCCTCTCCATTGCTGTCCTCTGCTTCTACTCCCAACCCATTGCCCCCCACAGCCCCCCCCGCCATTGCCCCCTCTCCCCCCCCCCCCGCCCCGCCCCGTGTTGCCCGTCTCCCCGTCCCTCTCCGGCTCCCCGTTGCCTTCAGTGCGGTGTGTGCCGCCATTGGGTGCGATGGGGGCCGGGGCGCGGGGGCTTGTGGGATAGCCCCGGACAGTCAGCCATCTTCTCGGATTGTGTGTGTGTGTTGTGTGTGTGTGTGTGTGTGAGAGAGAGAGAGTGAGAGAGAGTGTGTGTGTGTGTGTGGGGGTTTTTTTTTTCTCTCGCGGCGAAGCTTTCCGAGAGGGGGGAAAACCAGGAGGACAGAAGGAGGTAACTTGCAAATCCGCGATAACCCGAGGCCGAGCCGTCGGATGCATTCGGAAACTTTTCATTTCCACTAAAAAGTGCATCGGGTGGTGGTGGTGGTGTGGGAGGAGGGGGGGAGGAGGCGGGGGGGGAGGGGGGGAGGAGAGTCCAACCGTTTGCGCGGACTTTGCCGAAAGCTGCGCGCGTGAGTGAGTGAGTGAGTGTGTGTGTGTGTGTGAGAGAGAGAGAGAGGGAGAGGGAGAGACCAGATCCTGATCCGCTGCTTCAACAAACTTTGAGGTGTCCATTTTCTGCAGTTGCATTGTATCCCCATTTGTATCCCCTTTGCCAGTTCTCGGCGGTCGGACCGCGCGTCCCGTCGCCCTCTCTCGCGCTCTCTCTTTTTTTTTGCGCTCTTTCTTTTTCTCTCTCGTTTTGACGAATGGCTTTTATTTGGGGCTCCTTATCGATCGCTGCTGTTGGCAAACCCGCTTCCTCTCCCCCCTCTCCCCCTCCACCACCTCTCCCCCTCCCACACACACCTCCTCTCCCCACTCCACGTTTTATAAAGAAAGGGGATGTGTTTGTTTAGTGTCTCTCTCTCTCTCTCTCTGTGTGTCTTTCGCAAATCGCGGTTGATCCTCCCTCTCCCTCCCTCCCTCCTTCCTTCCCTCTCCCTCCCTCCTTCCTCCCTCCCCCCATCTTTCTTTGCAGGACAATGTTTTTGTTGTGTTTTTTTTCCTCTCTCTCTCTCTCCCCCTCTCTCCTCACCCCAAACCCGATACCTAAATAAAGTAACCGATGCAAAGTTCCCACATATATATATGTGTTTGTGTAGTGTATATATATATATATATATGTGTGTGTGTGTAGTGTATATATATATATGTGTGTGTGTGTAGTATGGTTGAAGTCCAGCTGTTTTGCTGTCTTTTCTCGAGTTAAAACAAATCGTGGAATCCACTGTGTGTGGAAAAAAAAGGATTATAAACCAGTATATTGGTTGGTTTTGTTCAGATGCTTTTGAAAAAAATGTGTGTGTGTATATATATAGTGGAGAAGGAATCCAGAGGTGAAGCTGATATTTTTTCTAACGAGAGGAGTTGAGTTGTGTTGGCTGTGCTGTGCTTTGTCTTGTCCTGACTCACATCAGCTTGTTGGGCACTTAGTAAACTTCACTAAAGTCACCAAAAGACTTGTATCTTTTTAAAAAAAAACTCCCTCCCTCTCCCCCCCCCCCCCCCTCAAAAAAAGCGATATTTTATTTTGTGCGCCTGTCAAAAGTCGCCGCTGTGAATTCAAAATAATGAATTCCCACACGAAACAAAAGCTGACGTTAACTTCAATGATTTTTTAAAAAATATATCTATGTATACAGTATATATAAATTTGTATTCTCCCCCTCCCACCGCCCCGTGGTCCCCATCTGTCCAATCTTTTCTCCACTAGAAGGCGTGCTGACTTAATAACAATCCTTGCATTTGATATAGCACCTTATCACGTTATTGAGACGTCTAAAAGCGCTTGGCTGGATATACTGTAAAGTGAATTGGCCATGTGTTTTGTAGGTGAAACTATGGGGCGAAACCAGGTGTCCCGACACATGGGGAAACCCATCACCGTGCTAAAGAGTATCCAAACCCAACTGAGAATTCCATGCAACAACAACAACAACAGAATTACATTTATAGAGCGCCTTTCAGGTCGGGAGGACGTCCCAAGGCGCCGGACAGTCAGGGGTCAGGGCCCGGGCATGGGGGAGGGGGGAGGGAAGGCAGAGGGGTGGGAGGGCGACTGAAGGCGCAATCGAAGAGGAGGGTCTTGAGACCGGCCTTGAAGGAGGCAAGGGAGGAAGCGAGCTGAAGGGACCGTGGGATGGAGTTCCAGAGTGTGGGGGCAGAGAGGCTGAAAGCCCGGCCACCGATGGTTGGGCGGGAGACATGGAGCAGGCCGGAGCCCGCTTAACGGAGGGAGCGGGCAGGTTGGTAGGGAGTCAGCAGGTCAGAGAGGTAGGAGGGGGTAAGGCCATGAATGGCCTTGAAAGTGAGGGCGACGATTTTGAATTTGATCCTCTGAGGGTTGGGGAGGCAGTGGAGTTGGGCGAGGGTGGGAGTGATGGGGTCACAGAGCCTGGTGTGCGAGAGTACACGAGCTGCAGAGTTTTTGATGATCTGCAGCTTGCGTTCCCACCAACACATGGAATTCCCAGGGATAGATTGTTGGAATGGAATGCGCACTCTCTTCCTGGAGGGACGGCTCCTGCTTACGTCATTCGGGAAAGTATTTGGTGCAGGTTGGCAAGAGCCACAGATTGGGGAACCTCAGAGTGTGCGTTGGGGTAACTGCTGGATTCTAACCAACTAAAACCGCATAGCTTGCCATTGATAGCACCGTCTGGCAAGCTTTTCCGCTGCCTGTCCAGCTAGGACCACCCTACCCATTAGGCCTTTGGCTTGCAGAGTTAACAGGATCTGAACGGGAGGATTCCCCTTGGATGTTAAAGATCCCATGGCACTATTGGAAAAGAGAAGGGTGTTTCTCTCTCTCTGTCCTGGCCGACGATCCCCTAAATAAAATTGGTCACTCACTCCAAAGCTGTTTGTGTGACGTTGCTATATAATAATCCCTGCATTTAGTGGTATAGCACCTTTCACATCAAGAAAGACATCTCAAAGTTCTTCAAAGGATTTACTGTGAGGTGGAGCCCACAAAACGCGCAGTTACTGCACTTTACGGTAAAACACTGTGAAACGCTTTGAAACAACACCACCACCAATTGACACCTAAATGACACCTTTCACGTAGGGTGGACAACCCAAAACACTGGAAAGTCAAGGATGTGCACCCGAGCTGGGAGTTGGGTTCGGGGGTGGGCAAAAAGTGAAGATGTCCTCCCGCTGTGTCAGATGGTGAGGATGCTATGGTGGGGACATAGAGTGGTGTGTGTGTGTGTCTGTGCAAGATGTGCAAGGCTTTGTGTTGTGGCTGACTGTGACTCTCTGTGTCTCAGGTGCTAGGGCAGCTGCACACAGAGTAAGATGGCCCGTACCAAGCAGACCGCTCGCAAGTCCACTGGGGGGAAGGCCCCGAGGAAACAGCTGGCCACAAAGGCCGCTCGCAAGAGCGCTCCGTCCACCGGTGGTGTGAAGAAGCCTCACCGTTACAGGTCAGTTACCCCCCCCCACACACACACACACACAACCAGTAACAACAACTTGCATTTATAAGCGCTCCTCATGCAGGACAGTATCTCAAAGCGCTTAGCAGTGGCGGAAACGAAAAGGGAGGCGACTGTAGGCACGGTCGAAGAGGGAAGGAAGGGGAAGGTAGAGAGAGAGAGGGAAAGTGTCCCAGAGTTTTGGGGGGTAGTGGCTGAGAGCGCAGCTGGTTATGTTGGAACGGAGGGCACGAGGGACAAGCAGGAGCCAACCGAGCAGAGGGAGTGGGTAGTGGGTTGGGGAGTAAGCAGGTTGGAGCGGTATGGAGGTGCCAGAACGTGAAAGGATTTGAAGACGAGTGTGAGGATCCTGAAATCGATCTGTTCGGCTATAGGGAGCCAGTGGAGCCTGGCTAGAACTGGCGTGATGGGGTACGGGGTTTGGTACGAGTGAGTGTCTGGGTGGCAGAGTTTTAGATTAACTGGATTTTGTGGATAGTGGAGTTCGGGAGACCTTCGAGGAGGATATTGGAGCAGTCAATGCGGAATCACTGCACACACTGCCTGCCTCAAATTAAGGGGGATGGTGATTTCCACCTGGGTCAGTCAACCAAAAGAGCAGCCACTGCACTTTACAGTAAAACCTGTAAACCGTTCTGAGATGTGCATGTGATGTGAAAGATGCCAGTTAAATATAAATTCTATTGCATATTTCTTGCTCCCCTCTTCACGGAGTCTTGCAAGTGGGAGGCCCTGGGTTCAATTCCCAAGAGGGTGGGGGAGAGCAAAAACCTTTAGGTAAATTTCCTTACTCCACGTCTCTGTTTACGTAGCAGTAAGTAGGAACCTGGTTGTTAGTCAATTGGCAGATCTCTTTTTCAGGGGTGAAAATTTAGTCACTCAATGCACGACTGTTTGTGGGAGACCACTGTGCGTAATTGGCTGCCAAGTTTCACCCACAAAATACACAGTCAATCCACCCTACAATATATAACATCCAGGCTTGACTTTGCAAACTCCTTGCTTGTCGACCTCCTCAACTCTTCCCTCTATAGGCTGCAGCCTACATCCTCTCCTGCACCAAGTACCATGACTCTTATCAGCCCCATCCTCGCCTGACTCCACTGGCTTCCCATCACACAGAGGATACAGTTCAAGATCCTGGTCCTCACCTTCAAAGTCCTCCATGGCCTTAGTCTCCCCTACTTTGGCGACCTCCTAACCCCCTACCAACCTGCCCGCCCCTTTCACTCAGAGGCCTCTGGCCGGCTTCACGTCTCCCCCTTGCCCGCCTCATTACTGGCAGGCAGGCCTTCAGTCACCCTGCCCCCACCCTCTGAAACTCCCTCCTGCAGTTCCTCCACCTCACCCCCTTCCTTGCCTCTTTCAAGACCCGTCTCAAGACTCTCCTCTCCAACCATGATTTTGATCACCCTCCTTCCACCCCTGCCCTCCATTCTCCCCAATCCCGACCCCCAGCTCAGGTCCGAAACACTGATTGTCCAGCGCCTTGGGACGTCCTCCTGATGTGAAATGCGCTATACAAATGTAATTTTATTGTTTTTGTTACATTCTGTGAAGTGCTTTTAGACGTCTCAACAGCAAGATAAGGCGCTATACCAAATGCAAGGATTATTATTATTAACTCACTGCCCCGGTGGTTCTTTTCCCCTCCACCCCCCTCCCCAGGCCGGGCACAGTGGCTCTGCGGGAGATCCGGCGTTACCAGAAATCCACGGAGCTGCTGATCCGTAAACTTCCGTTCCAGCGTCTGGTGCGGGAGATCGCTCAGGACTTCAAAACCGATCTGCGTTTCCAGAGCGCAGCCATCGGCGCCTTGCAGGTAAACACCCCATCTGCCTCCCACCCCCAGTCTCTTGCTGTTTTGCACCCGTCAGAAGTTGGATACCCAAAGGATTGTGAATTGTGCCCGAGCTTCACACTAGCGCTCAGGAGACCTCAGGCACGGGAGACTGTGTGGAACAGCATTCCCACAGCCACTGGTGTGGGGTGTATTGGGGAGGTGTGAGGTGTATTGAAGGGGGTATGGGGTGTATTGGAGATGTGTGTAGGGTGTGTGATGTGTGGAAGAGAGATGTCAGTGTATATATAATGTGTTTGTGCGGGTGGGGTGGTGCACTGAGTTCCTGAAAGGGCTGGAGATTCTGCGGGTAAATAAGCATGCCAATTTGTGAGGGGGTGCAATAAGGCAGCTAGTGGTGGGGGTGTGTGGGAGTCGAACAGCAAGTTCAGCAGGAATGTCCTCACGCAGAGGCTGGGAGGAATGTTAAACTCACTGCTAGGAGCTGTGGATGAAGCAGAAATTGTCAATTTGTTCAAGAGGAAACTTGATCAATACCCTCCTCTTCGACCAAGCCCTCGGTCACTCTCCCTGCCCTCCACCCCTCCTGATCCCAGTTCCCAGCTCGGGTCCAAATCCCTGACTGTCCAGTGTCTTGGGACGTCTTCTGATGTGAATGGCCCTGTATAAATGCAATTTGTTGTTGTACAGGAGAGGGGAACAGAGGGGCGTGGAAGAGAGAGAATAGGAGGAGTTGTGTAGAGTATAAACATTGGCACAGACTAATTGGGCTGAATGACCTGTTTCTGCACTGTAACATCTCTATGTAAGTCGTCCTGACATTATTGATTTCCTCTCTCTCTCTCAGGAAGCGAGTGAAGCGTACCTGGTCGGGCTGTTTGAAGACACCAACCTGTGCGCCATCCACGCCAAGCGGGTGACCATCATGCCAAAGGACATACAGTTAGCACGTCGCATCCGTGGGGAGCGTGCTTAACCCAGCGTGGCCCCCTGGGGGGGAGGGGGAGAGCATTCTCCTCTTTTCTACTCTCCTCTCCCCCCGAAAAAATCCCACGCACATTAAAAAAAAGGAATAATTTAAAAGTCTCTTCTTCCTTCCTGTCCTTGGTAGTGAGTGAGTGAGTGCTGCATTACTGTTTCTTTCTGATGGGAGAGGGGAGATGTGGTTATTCTGAATGGGGACGGGGAGGGAGGGAGGGAGCTCTTTGGAATCGGGATAATTGCGGATTTCACCTCCGCGCTCTTGAATTTTCAAAACAATTTTTTTAATTACAAAAAGAAAACGGCGAAGGGGGTGGGGGGGGAGGGGAGAGAAACGCCTTTCCCTTGTCATTTTCGTCCATGTGGCTTTTTAAACAAAATGTTTATTAAAGACAATAAAATCCACCCCCATCCCCACCCCAAATCGACTATCGCCAGCATTTTTGGGGAACTTTCTTTTATAGTTAACCTTTCGCAACGGGGCTGCGGTCAATCGGGAAAGCCAAAACAAGGTGTTTTATAGTCCATTCACCACGCAGATCCTGTCGGTTTTTGCTTTACTTTTATAAGGAAATGTGTTTGGCATATTTAGTGATGTTTTACATGTTTTTGTCAGTTGGTCTGTATGTCTGTCTGTCTGTCTATCTGTCTACTCCAGCAAGGTTTCCTATTAAAGTTTGTGGAAAGAAACAACTCAAGTTTGGTCACTTTGTTTTCTCCAGACTTTTTTGGTGAATTTTTGTGATCATCCAACATGTAGGAGGACAGTCCAGTGTCAACACTGGGGTTAGAGAAAGACACCCAACTCCCACCGTACTCTGTCTATCCACGTCAGAGACAGAGTAAACTCATTCCACAATAGCCACCCAGAAAGCTCAGGACAGTCTCAGCACGAGTTAAAAACAGATTAAAGCTTTGTCTACACTGTCCATTTAGCACTCTCAGTGAACAACAGCACACATTAGATTATTACTATTACCAATCCTCCAAGAACCAAGGGTGGGGTCAGCATTCTTTTTGTTGCCATGATCTATTAGAGTAGCGAAACAGGTTTGAGGGGCTAAATGGTATCCTCTTGTTCCTGTTTCCCTTTAATTACCAAGCAGAGTAATACCATTAAATTGCCTCTTGGTGGCAATGTCAAGCTCAAACCCCAGTAGTTGCTCAGCAGCACCTCTGTGTTGTCCTTCAGATGAGATGTTAAACTGAGGTCCAGTCGGTCTGTCGAAGGGGAGGCTAAAGATTCCATGGCACTTTTTTTTGAAAAGCGAAGGGAGTCTCTCTCCCAGTGACCTGTCTGATAATTCCCCAATAAAATTAGTCACTCACTCCGTGGCTGTTTGTGAGACATTCCTGTGCGGAAACTGGCTGCCATGTTTGCCCACGAATTATAGTGACTTTTTTTTGACATGTCCTCCTGATATGTTGTATCAAATGTGAGGATTGTCATTATTAGAGGGCAATATTGGGCTTAATGGCTTTTTTTTTGTCAGCTGGAAACCCATCACCGTGCTTAAAGAGTATCCAAACCAAAAAATCCATGCATCTCACCTACACATGGAAATCCCAGAGAGAGATTGTTGGAATGGAAAGCATACTCTCTCCCTGGAGGGATGCATCCTGCTGTAGAGTCCTGGATCTCAGTGGGTAGCACTTGCCTCACAAGGGAGAGACCCGGGTTCAATTCTTGGCAGGATGAAATGTTGGGCAAGTTTTCTTACTCCACATACCTGTTTACCTCGCAGTCAGTAGGAACCCGGTCATTAATTGATTTTTCAGGGGTAATAATTGCTTCAAAAAAAAATTGGTCACTTCAATCCGCGACTGTTTGTGGGACACAGCTGTGTGCAATTGGCTGCTGCATTTTGCCCACAAAATACACAGTCAATTCACTACAGTATATTCTGTGAAGTGCCGTGAGACATCTAGAAGATGTGATAAGGCGCTATATCAAATGCAAGGATTATTATTATCTAATTTTGGAAAGGATTAAGAGCAGGTTGGTAAGAGCCGAGCCTTGGGGTCCCCAAAGTGTGCATTGGGGTAACTGCTGAAGTATAACCAGCTAAAACCACATAGCTTGCCATTGATATTGCTATTTTACAAGTTTTCCCATTGCTTATCCAGCTAAAACCACCCTACCCGTTAGGGCTTTGGCTTGCGAGGTTAACAGGAGCTGAGCGGGATGACTCCCAAACCCCAGTGACTGGTCTGCCCTGGAATACGACAGATCCAATTTGCTCAGAAACCTCTCTAACAAGACCACCATAGAGGGCTGACTTGATTCCGATATTCCATTGCCTGGCATGTCAACTTGGAGCTAGTTCAGATCCAGAGACCCCCGCTTACCTCCCCCGCCAAGGAGGATAGTCACTAACAGCTATCATTGTTATTCAGCACACAATTCTGGTTCATACATTCTCGTTCTGTTAGGCCTTTATTCACTGGTTGTATGGTTAAGGTAGGATCGACTATTGTATCCCGTTGGTTAGCAGATTTGGAATCAGCTCAGCTACAAGGATACCCTGCTTATTTCCCCTTACCCCCCCACCCCCATAGAACACAAACTTACAAGTATACGCCTTTCGAGTCAGGACGATATCCCAAAGCGCTTCATGACAGCGGACTGCGCTTCTGAGTTGGGGTGAGGATGGGGAAAGATGACCAAAAGTGAAGTCAGAGAGATACATTTTTAAGACGCATCTTGAAAGTGAGTAGGAATGGAGCTTTTGGTCATTTCCTTCCTCGCCCCCAGTTCAGAAGCCCAGTCTGTTATGTCAAACTGACCTGGGAACGTGGACGGACAATGTCGAGGGAGCTTTACTTTGTATTTAACCTGTGCTGTCGCTGACAGTATAGACAGAGAGACTCCGGGATGGAGATCAGAGTGCAGGAACAGAATGGCTGAAAGCTCGGCAAATACTGGTGGAGCAGCCGACATGAAGCAGACTGCTGCCCCCTGAATGAAGGGAAAAGCTGAGTTCGTAAGGTTGAAAGTTGGAGACATAGAGATGGGGCAAGACCGTGAAGGGATTTGAGAGAACGAGGATCTTAAACTCGATCCACTCGAGGAGAATAGTATCCAAGGAGAGTGATGCAGAACGCAGGGAGAGAACCTCACAGGGAATCCTTTCCTCGTTAGTGAAGTACTTTTTTTTTCCCTTTTGGAGAAGGAACATTTATTTTCCAAGTGACAAAGAATTCCCGAAGACAACGTGCACACACAAGGTCTCAGCACGTCAGTCAGTAAGCCACTCGGAGAGAGGAGTAGAATTACAGATAAATGTAGTTTAATCAAGATTAAATATATTATTCAAAGAAATTGGTTTTGAAAATTGCACCGTCATAACTGCACAGATCAAAAAGGAGGAAATTAAAAAGCTGAAGGCATTTAAAAATCTTTCGGACTTGAAAATTCTGGCAAACCTCAACTCCTCCTGCACACTTGGTGGGGTGGGGGAGAAGAGGTAAATCAGCCACACCAACGATCTGCTACCCCCCTCCCCCCATTAAATTTCCACCTCTCTCACCCCACCCCCCACCTCGCGACTCCCATCCATCCACCTACACAGACCTTACAAAAGAAAAAAAAACACAACATATATAATCACAGCTGACCAACAGTAAAAGTAAACCAGTAATTCAGGACAGCTGTAAATACAAAGCAAAATAGAGGAGGAGGCGGCTGGAGGGGTGGGGGGTAATATATACAAAAAAGGATATTAAAACAAATCAGATTAAAACGTATAAGAAGCTGCTGTTGGAAATCTTGGCTTCTTCAGGTCTGTCAGCCCCTTCCCTCTCAGGCTCTATCCGGACGGGAGTTGAGTGCTTTTCTTGTTGAACTATCGCAATTTGATTAATTTTTTTTATTTCTCTCCTCCCCCCCCCTCCCCCCCGCCACCCCAATAAAAAAGGCATTTCACCTCGTGTTGGGGGATGATGCGGCTAGTCACCCGAGGGGCTATTCTGAAGGGGTGGTGGGGGGTAGGGGAAGGGGAGGTTCAGCAAGAGGGATTTTAGTTTGGGCAGCCAGGTGCCTGACACTTGCTTAAGCCTCCACTTATCCACAGAAAATTCCCGATGTCTGGGACCAGCATCTTAGCCTTGCAGGGTTAACAGGAGCTAAGTGGGCAGAATCCCTCCCCCCCAGTGAGTGATGTGACCAATGAAGTGCTGTCATCAGCAGTGCAGACCCCCCCAACCACCCCGGCTCAGGAACTGGACTAGAGACCACCACAGAGGCTGAACTCAATTCTGACATTCCATTGTCAAACATACCACCTGAGAGTCAAGAAAACCCCGCTTATCTTCTCCCACCCCGACCACCCACCCCCACCCCGCAAATGAAGACTGGTTGGGAGTGAGAAACTCAGAGTGAAAGCTTTCCTCACTGGACGTCTAACAGAGCAGCTGGGCTGGCTCATTCTGAAAGAAACTTGGAAAAGATCTGGAGGTGATCAGAGCTCAGAGACTCGCGAGGATTAGGAAATTTGGGATGCCACAATGCTGAGTGCAAGCACATACACCCACACCCAAATGTGTATATGTCGGGTGAATCCAAAGTCCTTACTCATCAGTCCAAATGCGATGTTCAAACCACCATGCCTTGTCAACGCTTACACATATAATCTCGGTGACAAAAACTTTCAGGAACACGATGATGAAAGACATCTCCTGTAAGAGCTGCTCACGCTCTACCAATGTTGTCTTTTAAAAAAGAACATAATTCATAATTAAAAACTCTTTGCGTAAGGGCTTCTGATTCACCCTGTATAATAACGGTGGCATAAAAATTCAAAAACCATTGTGTCAATAGAAAGGTGTTCCCAACGCCAAATGGGAACACCTATAATATTCATGTAATATACAGAGTTAGACCCCACTCCCTCACCCGCTTTACCGAGATGGAAGAAGAAGCAGCTCCCTTTTCCCTTCCCCATCGGGCTCCCCCCACACCCATGTGTCTGTCACTGGAGAAGTGGAGTACAGCAGGTCCACATGGTGCCCCCCCACTGCCACCCCACCAAAGCCCCTCAGACCTGCAGTCACCCCTAATCTTTTTCTCTTTCATAAGAATGTCACAAAAATGTTTTTTTTAAAAAACATCTTTCCTTGAAGGATCCGTGTCCCCTTCTCTGCCCACAGTGGTTGTTTATCACAGATCTGAACCTGCCGGACACACCCATCACCGTCCCCTCAAGCCCATCAAGGAAGCCTCGATCAGTGTCTATATCAATACAGCAAACATGCTGCCAAGAGAGCGGGTCTCAGTCTTGTTCCTCAATATACTGTCCAACATCAGCTACTCACAGGCTGTACACTGAAAACTCAGGCTGTGCGACTGGAGGTGGAGGGACAGGAGTTTTGATGGTGATATAGGGAGGAGGGAATGTAGACAGTGAGTCTCAGTAGGCTGTATGACTTGGTGTTAAGGGGGAAAAACACTGAGGGTGTTAGTTTGACCCAGACACGTCCACAAGAGTCCGTCATTAGCTCACAATCTGGAGGATTCTGGACAAAGCTCCGTCAGTCACTTCTTCAAACTGCCCCCTTAGCAAAAAATGCCACCGATTTTTAAAGTTTAATAAGACTTTATAACAAAAAGAGTGGAGAAGATTAATTCTCGGACAGGTTTATGGAATCTCTTAAGGCAGCCCTGGCGCTATGCTGTGTAATGTCTGAGCATTTGCTGAAAGGGAAACAGGCAGAGAGAGGGGAAGGAGGGGAGGAGAGAAGGAGTGGAAAGGAAACATAAAGGAATACCCACAGCGAACAGCGACACGGACAGGTAGAGATAAAAGTCTAACATAGCATCATCTCCTGGCAGTGATAGTTACCAATTGTACATCCATCACCTCCCAACCCACTTTCCCCTCCACTGCACATTGTTTCCCCAACTCCCCACCACTCCCCCACCGCCACCACACACCTCCGATCTTCCCACTCTACGCCTCAGTTTTGTTTAAGGATAATTATTTTTGACGCACGGTGTGCAAATTAAAGATTTACAAAAAAAAGTACAGGTGTCTAAACATTAGTTACACGTTTATCTGGTATAATACACTCTGTAATAAACTGTTTTTGACCTCCACAAGGAATACGAGTTATCGAATTTAAGGAGATAGACACCCCGGCCCGGGTACTGGTGGCTTCCAGCGTACACTTCCTCATGACAGTCCCGTCTGTAGACTGGAACCACCTCATCCACCTGCACTTTTCTGGCGCTCTTCTTGACTTTTTCCTCTCCGCTGGGACTCTCTAGAGGAAAAGAAAAACAGTACGGACGTTTCAAACAACACCAGCTTATAATGTTCAGCGCCTTTCACAAAGCAGATCGACTCAAAGTGCTTGACAACTCCTCCTTACACAATCCAATAATTATTAATAATAAATCTTGCATTTCATGTAGCGCCTTATCACATTGTTGAGGCACCTCAAAGCACTTCACAGAATATAAAACATTGTTTTAAAAAAAATAAATTTGGTCATTCAATCCACCACGGTTTTGTGTTTCGCCCACAAAAATATACAGTCTCCTCCTCCCTCCCTCAGGCTCTGCCACTGTCAAGCACGCTGGGACGCTATATAAGCGCAAGTTGTTGTTGCATGACTGTCAACACCAGCTAGTGAGAGCAATTGCGTTATTCTACCTTCATCTTCCTCCTCGTCGTCGCTGGACTCGCTAACGTGCACGCTGACTGCCGTGTTCGGAGAATCCGTCCATTCAAAATACACCCCAAAGCCTATGTCATAATTGTCTGTAGCAAATTCCCAGAAGAGGTAGGAGCCCTCGTCATGCGTGGGGACCCTCACGGTCACCACCTCTCCTCGGCCCACCGCGATCACAGAGTCTGCGTCCTGACGGATCTTCTCCTTAAAATCTTTGATCTGTGGCCGGGTCCACATGGACGGTGCTGCTATCACCGGAATTCCATCTGGGAAAAAAACAATGGGATCACATAGGGATGTGGGAAGGTACGGCCCCCAAAAATAGTGTTGGGACTCATCTAAACAGTCCTCAACTAATGTCATCTCCATCTCTTAACAAATTAATGATACTTGCGTTCAGTACAGTGCTTATCACGTCGGCAAAATGTCTCAGGATTTATTGTCAAGTGAATTGACTGTGTATTTTCAGGGTGAAGGATACCCAATTGCGTTCAGCAATGTCTCACAAACAGTCATGGATTGAGTAACCAAATCTTTTTTTTGGTGGGGGGGGTGTGGGTTGAAGGGATTATTATGCACAGAAAGTGATCTGCCAATTGAATAATTATTGGGTCCCACTTACTGCTAGGAAAACAGAGGTGTGAGGAGTTAGGAAAATTGTCTAAGGTTTTGCCCTCGAGGCGAGGGCGCTAACCACTACACTGCAGGACTCCAAACTGTAGATTCGGAGAGGCAAATGTAGGCTCAATTGACTGACCTTTTGGTCCGTTCTCGAGCACTTCCTCGGCTGTTTCTGGCTCAGGCTCTTTCTCCAAGCTGTCCATCTGGCCGGGAGTCTGTCCGTTCACGGTTGGCATCTCCCCGACCCCCGAGTGGGTGGCGGCTACAATTGGCTCCTGCTGTTTCTGTAGGGTGGCCTGCCCAAAACAAAGACTATCAGATTCAAGAGAAGCCAGTCACAGGCAGCAAGATCCTGGAGCCTAACTGTAGCGCCGCAGGGTCTTTTACATCGACCTGAACAGGCAGACAGGACCTTGGTTTAACATCTCTCCCGAAGATCGGCACCTCCAACATTGCAGCCCCCCTACCCCAGCACTGGCAGCCAAGACACTTACAGAGTCTGGAACTCTCAAGCGAGAGTGCTATAGACTCAGCGCCTTGGACATTCTCCTGACGTGAAAGACACTATACAAATATAATTTGTTGTCGTTGTTATACCAAGCTGACAAGTACAGTCCACAATCTCAACAAACCCTCCCGACGTGAAAGGTGCTACATAAGTGTAAATTTATAAAGTGACTGTGTATTTTGTGGGTGAAACATAGAAGGCAGTTTGTGCACAGCAGTGTCCCACAAACAGCCATGAGAGTGAGTGACCAATTTTATCTGGGGCATTGTTGGCCAAGACACTGAGAGAGAGAAACTCTCCCTTCGCTTTTCAAATTGTGCCACAGGATCTTTAACATCCACCTGAACAGGCAGAACAAGGATTCAGTTTAACACCTCATCAGAAGGATGGGAGAATGCGAGTCGGAAGTTGGAAATTCTGTCCAGGAATTACAATTTGCATTTATCCAACAGCTTTCACACCAGGACCACGCAAAGCGCTACACACAGGTGGCTGGAAGCACATTTGAAAAGACTGCTTTTTTGTTGGATTCCGAAGGTGGGGAGGATGGGGGCGAGGTATAAGGACCCGTGGGGAGGGGGACGAAAGGCTGAACACTTGCCCACCGATGGTCATGAAGCTTGCTGGTGCTTAATGAGCACAGGCAGTGACCAGGGCAGTTGGGTCACGGAGGCACATTGGGGGGGAGGGGGGCGTCGGTGGAAGATCCCGAAGTGCTCAAGAAAGACCGAAATGGCATCAACAACAACAAAATACATTTGTATAGCGGGAGGACATCCGAGGGCACTGGACAGTCATGAATTTTCACCCGAGCTGGGGGTTGGGATCAGGAGGGGTGGAGGACAGAAAGGATAGGGGTAGAAGGACCGATGGCGCAGTTGAATAGTCTTGAGACGGGCCTTGAAGGGAGGGGGTTCGTGTGTGAGGTTCACACTCTGTGTGAGCTGCACTTTGGTGGGGGTGGGGGGGGGGAATCTTGTGGAAACACCAGGGCTGATGTGAGGCTTAAGGGGAAGGTGATTGTAGCCACTCGAGAGTGAGGGAGATCCCATGGAAGAGCTTGAGAACAACCCGAATGACAGGACGTTCTATGTATAGCAGTCGCTGTGTAAGGCTCTCTCACCTGCTGCTGTGCGAGCTGCACCTGGTAGAGCTGCTGCATGTACTGCTGATAGTGCTGCTCCTGGAGCTGTCGGATGAGCAGCTGCTGCTGCTCCAGGTTACCGGGGAACTGCTGGGCCGCGTACTGCTGAAACTGCACCGCCGTCTGTGCATTCAGGGCCGCCATGATCTGCTGCCTGCAACACAGCAACAGCTTGTCTTTATACAGTGCTCTTCACGTGGGGCAATGTCTCGGAATGCTTAACAGTGGCAGAGCCCAACGCAGAGCCGGTGAGGGGAGAAAGAAGGTAACCCCATTTCAAAACATAATCACCCTCACATTGGACACAGCAACTTATCACATCATGATAAGCGCTTCACAGGACACACTGTAAAGTGTCGTGACTGTGTTTTGTGGACAAAAGTCGGCAGCCAGTTTGCACACAGCAGTGTCCCACAAACAGCCATGGATTGAGTGACCAGTTTTATTTGGGGGAATGGTGGCCAGGACACCGGGAGAGAGAAACTCCCTTCTCTTTTCCAATAGTGCCACAGCATCTTTAAAATCCACTTAAATAGGTAGACAGGATCTTGGTTTAACATCTCATCCAAGAGATTTAAAGAAGGGAACGACGGAAGGCGGGATGCAGTAAGACTGAAGCAGGGCATCAAGAGGGGGAGAGACAGGCTGAGCATAAGGGAAAATTGGAAATCCAAAGGGAGAGATGTAAGGGGAGATGAGGGGAAGAGATGGCGAGAGGTAGAGATGAATGGGGGTGTGAGAGAGAGAGAGAGAGACGGAGAGGGTGGAGAGAAAAGACAGAGAGGGAGAGTGTGGAGAGAGAGAGGGGGAGAGAGGGAGGAGAGAGAGAGATGGTGGACAGAGAGAAATAGATGGAGAGAGTAGACAAAGAGAGACGGAGAGAGGGAAAAGAGGGAGAATGTGGAAGACAGAGACGGAGAGAGAAAGGCCGGCTCAGCAGCTCTTACTTCTGCTGCTCCATTCGTAATCGCTCCTCCTCCAGCCGCCTCCTCTCCTCCTCTTCCCGTCTCTTCTTCTCTTCCTCCTCTAGCTGCCGTCGCTCTTCCTCCTGCCGCAGCCGCTCTCGCTCCTCCTCCTCCTGGCGCCGCTTCTCCTCCTCTTCTCTCCTGAAGACGAGACAAAATAAACAAAATGGTCAGAAATGAAAACAGAAACCCGCAGCAATCAACATCAAAGTGGAACTGAGCAAAGCAACTGCTATCGGTTACGTAACACTGTCGCGTTTCTCTGGGACCAACCTACACGTTACCTTAGCCTACTTGATCTGGAATCGTACAACACATTCCTTTAAATCTTTTCTCTGCCTATTGTTTGGCAGACCATTCCCATTCTCCCCTCTTTCTCTCTACTCTTCCTTCTCTATTTTATGGGAGGTGACATACGGTTCTCGAACAACCTGCACGCTACTTTAGGCTGCTTGATCGGCAAGCACTAATCATGCAGCGCATTTCTTAAAATCTTTCCTCTGCCTGTTGACCGGCACGCTGTTTCCGTTCTCACCTCTTTCTCTCTTGCTCTTCCTTCTCTATTTTATGGGAGGTGACGTACGGTTGGAACAGGCAGCAGCATTTGTTCAGGAGCTGGACAAATTCCACCATGGCATCCTCCTTCTGCATGCTCCCCAAGGCCGTCCACACTCTCCTAATGAACAGAGACCAGAGCAGTGCTGTGAGAACATCAATCAGCAACGGAAAGGAAAGGGAAGGAGGGGGTGGGAGGGCTCAAACAAAGCCGAGTGACGCCTGGCATTGAGCACTCACCTTGAACGAAAGAATACACACTAAAGGAACGGACGCCCACACAAAGGTGGCAAATGCGGGAGAAACAAATGAGTTCCGGAAGGCGCTGCTGGCTGGTGTACAATAAGAGCACACTGAACAGGACAGCGCCATTCACACGCACAATCTCCCTCTCCTCTCTATCACCCACGTCATGACAAGATGCGTGCTAGGATGAACCATTTACACTGATGTGAAGCTGTTTTCTGGTCATGTTTGACAAACGTGGAGGTGCGTCACCATGATTAAGAGTATGCAAACCAGACACAGAGTAGTATGCATGTCACCTACACATGGAAATTTCCCTGCGTCACTAACGGATTGCTGGAGGGACACTCTGCTTCCTAATTAGGTATACAATGTCAAGAGCCAAGACATGGATACCACAGAGTGTGTGTTGGGGTAACTGCTGGTGTCTAACAACAAGAACAACAAAATTACATTTGTATAGCGCCTTTCACATCGGGAAGATGTCCCAAGGCGCTGGACAGTCAGTGTTTCGGACCCAAGCTGGGATTCAGGACTGGGGAGGGTGGAGGACATGGTGGGGGATGCTGGGTGATCAAAAGCATAGTCGAAGAGGAGGGTCAAGAGATGGGTCTTGAAGGAGGCAAGTGAGGGAGTGAGGCAGAGGGACTGCGGGATGGAGTTGCAGAGGGTGGGGCAGAGTGGCAGAAGGCCCACCCGCCAATGATGGGGCAGGCGAGGCGGGAGGCGTGAAGCAGGCCAGAGCCCGCTGAGCAGAGGCAGCGGGCAGGATGGTAGGGTTTAGGAAGTCGCAGAGGTAGGGAGGGAGCAAGACCATGGAGGGCTTTGAAGGTGAGGACCAGGATCTTGAACTGTATCCTCTGTGTGATGGGAAGCCAGTGGAGTCGGGCGAGGATGGGGGCGATAGGGTCACGGAGCCTGGTGAGGGAGAGGACACAGACTGCTGAATTCTGGATGATCTGGAGCCCATGGAGGGAGGAGTTGGGGAGGCTGACAAGCAGGGAGTTTGCATAGTCGAGCCTCAATGTAATAAATGCGTGTATGAGGGCTTTGGCGGCCTGCAGTGTGAGGCAGTGGTGGAGTCGGGCGAAGTTGCAGAAGTGGAGGAAGGCAGAGCAGGTCATGGCACGGATGTGGGATAGAAAGGATAGTTGAGGTTCAAACAAGATGCCAAAGTTCCGGACTGGCTTAGCAATGGTGGAGTGTGCATCCATGGATGGTGATGCTGTCAGCGCCTGAGGAGGCAGAGGGAGCCCTGGTCGCAGATGGACAGAATGTCATTTGTCACTTTGACCAGGGCTGTTTCTGTGCTGTGGGAGACATGGAAACCCGATTGGAGAGGTTCATGAAGGGAGTGGCGGGAGAGGAAGGAGCGAAGCAACAACTCGTTCCAGGACCTTGGAGAGGAAAGGGAGCTAAAACAGCTAAAACTGCATTGCTTGCCATTGATATTGCTGTCTGACAAGCTTTCCTGCTGCTTGTGTAGCTAGGACCACCTTGGCCATTAGGGTTGCAGGGTTAACAGGAGCTGAGTAGAAGGAATTCCTGCCCCCAATGACTGATCTGTCATTTCAAATTCTACTGAAGAGCCAAGCTGGACTAGTCTGTCATCAGCAACATGCATTTATATAGTATCCTTCACACAGGGTAGCGTCTCGGAGCAATTAGCACCAAGCGCTCTGAGACGCTATCCTGCATGAGGGATGCTATATAAAAGTTGTTGTTGTTTTCACAGTGACAATATTATCCCAGGCCAAACTCACAAAGAGAAGGGAGTTTCTCTCTTCCACTATCCTGGCCAACAATCCCTCAGGTAAATTCCATCACTCACTTCATGGCTGTTTGTGTGACATTGCTATGCGCAAATTGGGTGCTGTGTTAGCCTACAAAATGCATGGTAAATCCTGGGAAGCTCTTTGAGTCGTCCTCTCAATGTGAATGGCATCAAATAAGAGGATTATTTACTGTTTCTCTTTCCCAATGGTAACACAGGATTTCAAAAAAACCACCGGACAAAGAGGAGTCACGGAGGGTGCGTAAAACCCAGAACCTTCTGGTTTCAGACCATTTCATCTCTCTCTCCCCCCACCAACACTCTCCACGTATCCCAAGACCTGGTTGAGCTCGGTTGAACTGAGTGCTGGCTGAGGAATCAAAGCCCAGACATAACAATAATCTTTACTTTTGATGTAGTGCCTTATCACATCATTGAGAGGTCTCAAAGCTCTTCAAAGAATATATTATAAAGAGGATTGACTTGAGTATTCTGTGGGTGAAATGCAGCAGCCAATTGCACATGACAGTGTCCCACAAACAGTCGTGGATTGAGTGACCTAATTTTTATTATTTTTATTTATCGTTTTATTTTTTTATTATTTTTTTTGAAGGGAACCTCCGGAAAGCGATCTGCCAATCGACTAACAACCAGGTTCTTACTTACTGCTGGGTAAACAGAGGCGTGTGGAGTAAGGAAACTTGCCTAAGGTTCCGCCCAGCCTGGGAATTGAACCCAGGTTCTTTTGTTTGCGAGGCGAGCGCTCTAACCAATACTCTATGGGATGACACTATTGGCATCCCTCATCAGTGCAGCTCAGTGTCTCGTTGAGCAGTGGCTTTGCCACTGAGCCACTGGGGAAACGAAGAGCCAAAACATGTTTAAACAAAAGGGACTCTTCATGGTTATCCCGTGGGTTCAGTTGAAATATTTTGATTCTGTGAAGCCAACAGAATTTACAGGGTGAGCACAAAGCTGCTGCTCAAGTGCCATTAGAGCAACTGATTCGCAGCAACTTGGAATAAACCATTCATTGGTGACAAGAAGTAACTGAACACCCATTGATTCAGGCACGGCTCGCTCAGCACAGAGCCCGGGCTGTTCATCACCGCCTATTACAGTCAGCACTAAGTCTCCTTTATACATTGGAAGTTGGAATGGTATTGCCTCCACAGAGACATTTTGATGCTGTTATCAAATAAAATTGGCCACTCATTTCACGACTGTTTGTAATAATAATAACCCTTGAGTGTGACATAGTGCCTTAGCGTGTCATTGAGATGTTTCAAAGTGCTTCACGGAATATACTGCAAAATGAATTGACTGTATATTTTGTGGGCAAAATGCAGCAGCCAATTGCACACAGCAGTTGAGTGACAAAATGTTTTTTTATTTTGGAAGGATTATTACCCCAGATAGCGATCCACCAATCGAATAACAACTGGGTTCCTACTTACTGCTCGGTAAACAGAGGCTTGTGGAGTAAGGAAACTTGCCTAAGGTTTTGAACCGCCTGGGAATCGAACCCGGGTCCTCACGCTTGCTCCAACCACTATGTTACAGGATTCCAAATACACAGGCTGACTCAGACAGGAGAGATTAATCTGACACTGACCTATCCTAACTCACCTGCATCGCTGATAATTCGAACCAACTGAAGTGGGTGTCTGACTGATAAAAACACGCCAAGCTGCGAGAATCAGGGTAACAATTACCTCCGATCGCTGCCAAGAACATCAAAGAAGCCGACCTCAGGACACGTGTCAGGACTGTAGGGACCGGCTGAGATCTGTTTCTGCAGAGCTACCAGTTTAAGTTTCTCTTCGTACGTTGGGTGAAAAGCTTTTCCGTCCTTCTCTGTAAACAGAAAGATAACTATTAAAGAACATCCATCTTCCTTCTCCTTTCCACATTTCATGCATGACATACAAAAATCACTGCAGCACTAGTGGGGTCCAAGCATATTGGTTAGCATGCTCGCCTCGCAAGCGAGAGGACGTGGGCGGGGTGAAATCTTAGGCATCCTTCCTTACTCCACAAGCCTCTGTTTATCTAGCAGTAAGTAGGAACCTGGGTGTTTTTCGATTGGCGGATCGCTTTCCTTGGGTAATAACCCATCCAAGAAAATAATAACAATAATTTGTTCACTTAATCCACAATAGTTTGTGGGACACTGTGATGCACAATTGACTGCTGCGTTTCATCCACAAAATACAGCCAATTAACTTGACAGTATATTCTGTGAAGCTCCTTGAGACATTAACAATGTGATCAGGCACTATATTAAATGCAAGGATTATTATTATTACTTCTGCCCAAACTCATTAAGGTTCCCACTCCCATTTGCCACCTTCCTGAAAAAAACTTCAGGCCTTGAGCTGCCAATCCAGATTGTTAGGCTCATGCTATCCTTCAAGGAGACAAGAGGTGGTTTCAGATGGATGTTAAAGACCCTGTGCCACAATTATTTAATAAATAATCCTTGCATTTGATATATTGCCTTATCACATCGTTGAGACGTTTTAAGGCTCTTCACAGAATGTACTGTAAAGTGGATTGCGTACTGTATTTTGTGGGCGAAACGACACAGCCAATTGCGTACAGCAGTGTCCCACAAACAACAACAACAAAATTACATTTATAGAGCACCTTTCACGTCGGGAGGACGTCCCAAACAGTTGTGGAGTGAGTGACCAATTTTTTTTAAAAAAGGGATTATTAACCCCTCAGAAAGCAGTCAACTAATAACTGGGTTCCTACTTACTGCTAGGTAAACGTTTGGAGACTTATGAAGTAAACTTGCGTACGGTTTCACTCCGCCCAGGAATCAAACCTGGGCCCTCTCGCTCGTACAGTGAGCGCACTAACCACTATTCTACTGGACTCCAATAATTAAAAACCACAAAGGAGTTTCTATTGGTAACCCGGCTGCCAATGACCCGGATTGATGGGTCGTTCACCTCCTGGCTGTTTGTGTGATCATGTTGGCAATGACAGCTGGTATTAACAACCACTAAAATTGATGGCAACTACCCAATGCATTCAGAGAGGTTTTAATGTGATATACTATAAAGAGGCTGTAAAAGCTCTTCCTTTAATCCAATGAAACAGAATGCTTGAGCAGTAAAGATATGCCTTCTCCTGTTGCTATGCTACAAATTCAGGTCCATTCTCAAACACAGCCACCGTGAAGCTATAGGAGCTATACCTGATCAGCGACCTGAAAAACCCCATGACTTTAATCGTGTTAATTTAACAATTAAAACATAAAATGTTTCAAAAAAAGTACTGAGCAACCATTTCAACAAACTATTTCACTTTTCACACTTAATAATAATAATATTTGCATTTGATATGGTGCCTTATCACATCATTGGGACGTCTCAAAGCACTTCACAGAATATTCTGTAAAAGTGGATTGACATGCATTTTATATTTTAATTAAATAAATTGTATATTTTTTAAAAGAATGCTTTTTAAATTTATATTTTAAATATATTTAATATGAAATATATTTTATATTTTAAACATATTTCAATTTTATATCATAAAATGGAATGCTTGCCTATAACCATCCTTCCCGCACTAATGTTTGTCCTATTAGGAGTCTTCTATAAAGTCTGCACACACACAAGCAGGCTCACCGAAGAGAGGTCAATCTTAAGAGAAAGCCAGTCAGTGCTCTCAATGGCAATTTATGCGATTTAAACTGGTTAAATTGCAGCAGTTTTCCCAACACACATTCTGGGATCCCCAAGCTTTGCCGAAACCTTGGGCAGGCGAAACCTTGGGCAAGTTTCCTTACTCCACACAGAGCCTAATAATAATCCCTCCAAAACCAAAAACAATAATAAATTGGTCATTTTCAATCCATGACTGTTTGTGGGACATTGCTGTGCCACGTTGGCTGCCGCGTTCGCCCACAAGTATACAGTCAATTCACTTTACAGTGTGTTCTGTGAAGCACTTTGGGACGTCCTCCCGACGTGAACAGCGCTATATCAAATGCAAGGATTATTATTATTATTATTATTATCATCACTTGCTTGCTTTGAGTGGCAGGGTGGGGGGTGGGGAAGAGGAATGAGGAAGAGGTCAGAGTTACAGTTGAGCCAATAAGAGAAAGGATTGGAACACACAGCGCTGCAGATTAAGGCCACCTGGAAAGTGCTAATATGTGGGTCTCAGGTGAGAACAGCATTCAGCTTGGCTATAAAAATCCTATGCAATTAAATAATCTGCCGACAACAATCAGTTCTGGCCCACAGGTAGAAGAATGAGCACTCGGGCAAGGTACCTGAGGGCAGCCAGCCCAGGAAACTATTTCCCAACATGGAGCCATGCCTTCAGCCTTTCGGCCACAAAATATACAGTTACTCCACTTTACAGTATATTCTGTGAAGCACTCTAAGACACCTCAACAACGTGATAAGGCCCTATATCAAATGCAAGGATTATTATATTCAGCAAGAGGCGAAGAGATTGAGAGGGAAAGCGTATACAAATACATAAATAAAAAACACCCCAAATTTAAAAAGTCCAGGAGAACAACCCGTCACTAAATATTTAACATTAGAACTGACCAGCTGTGGCATCCTGACTTTCAGCTGTGTCCTTCGGCCTCTGTTAACCCATCCATCACAACCAGAGAATTAATGATGGGCTACGTATCTCTAACCAGTTACTTCTACAACCCATGTTTACAAACAGAATCAAAACAAATAATAATAATCATAATTGGTCACTCAATCCACGACTGTTTGTGGGACACTGCTGTTCGTAATTGGCTGCTGGGTTTAGCCCACAAAATATTCCATCATGCCACTTTACAGTGTACCCTGTGAAGCGCTTTGAGACGTCCTGACGAGGCGATAAGACTCTAGATCAAATTCAAGGATTATTACTATAAACGGAAATAACCAATGCCAATTTTTTTTAAAAGTCTAATTAGTCCCAGAATCTACTCGCAGAGATAAAAATCTAAAGTAACTGTAGTATTTCAATCAATGACAATTTTTCCAGTGAGAGGGTGCGGTGCAACTGAATGGAATCTGTCATGGATGACACAAACTAAGGACAAGGAAGCAGTTAGGAGAACCAGGAAGTTGCCAGATTATAATTTATCAATGGAGAAATGTCTCCCCTGTGCAAACATTATGCAGTGCACACACATGCAGATATTTCAAGTAACTTTTCAAAGAAGCTGGACAAAGGTCTTGTTGACATGCATCATAAACTGTATAGTTCCTAATCATCTTGCCCATCCCACACACACACACACACACACATGCAAAAGCATCTCCCTCATGAAACTGATAAGCCTTCCCTTGCAGACAACACATTCTCACACTGTGCTGGATAGGATACAGTTGTATAGGATACAAAAAAGGGCTGAAGTCTGGTTGGTGACGCAACTCATTTCACCTGTAACCTTCAAACACTATCTCTTGCAGCTTCTCCTGTGTTTGTCTATCATATCAACTACAATCATTGTACCCCACTGAACATTTCCCTCTCGAATACCTCAAGCTCCGTATGAGCCCTGAGACTGGCTCCAAGGGAAAACGTTTGGCAATGGAATGTTGGAATCAAGTACACCCTCTGTGGCGTACTGCTGATGACAGATCACTCAGCCTGGCTCATTGGCAGAACATGGGAGGAGCAGATCGGTCACCAGGGGCAAGGAATCATCCCACTTATCTCCAAAGTGTTGGGAGAATAGGGTGGTCCCGGCTGGACAAGCAGGAGAAACTTTCGAGACAAGAGACTTCAATGGTAAGCTCTGTGGTCTTAGCTGGTTAGACTCCAGCAATTACCCCAGCACACACACACTGCGGTCCCCAAGCCTTGGCTCTTGCCAACCTGCGTCTAATACTTTTGGAATTAGGCAAGTAGTGTGCATCCCTCCAGGGAGTGTGCATTCCACTCCAGACGCAGTAATTTCCATGTGCAGGTGGCATAAGTATGTAGAACTCTCAGTCTGCAGTTAGTCTAAGGCCACACTCCAATGCAGTGCTGGAGGGACGTTGTATTGTCGGAGATGCCATCCTTCAGATGCGACTTTAAACCAAGGTCCTGTCTACCTATTCTGGTGGACATTAAAGATCTCATGGAATGATTGGAAAAGAAAGGGGAGTTTCTCTCTCCTGGTGTCCCAGCCAACAACCCCCAAATAAAATTGGTTGCTCATTCCACGCCCGTTTCTGAGACACTGTTGTGTGCACACTGGCTGCCGCTTTACTCCCACAAAATACCCAGTCAATCCACTTTCCGGTGTATCCTGTGAAGTGCTTTGAGATGTCTCAACATTGTGATAAGGCGCTATATCAAATGCAAGGATTATTATTATTAAAAAGAAGCCTAGTTTATAGGACCTGGGTTCGATTCCTGGTAAGGACAAATTTCCTTACTCCACACGTAAGTGGGAACCCGGTTGTTAGTTAGTCGATGGACTGCTTTCTGGGGTAATAATCCCTTCACAATAAATAATAATTTGGCCACTCAACCCATGACCGTTTGTGGAACACTGCTGCGCGCAATTGCCCATACAATAAGCAGTCACTGTACTCGACACAGTATATTCTGTGAAGCTCTTTGAAGTCTGGGCGACACGATCAGGTGCTGCATCAAAATGCAATGACTATTGCTGTTACGACTGCTATATGGCTATTATTATTGCCGCAAACACCAACGCTGAGGTTAAATGGGGGGATTGAGGGGCGAGTCAATACCTTTAAAGAATTTAAGGGCCAGGCAGTAGAGCTCCCTCAGGGGGAAGCCCCACGCGTTCTCCATCTTCTCGGCCTCTCTGGGGGTTTGCTCCGGCTCCAGCTCGGGGTCCACGTCGTTGGCGGCGGCCACTGCGGACCCACCGCCCTCTCCGTCTCCAGAGCCGGGCGTAGGCCCGTCCGGGAGTGAGTTCAAACGGTTGTGGCTGTGGACGGAGGCCGAGGCCGAGGCCGCCTCCACCTCCTGCCGCTCAGGTTCGGGGCTGAGCGTCAGCCCGTCGATGGACACCTCCAGTCGGTTGCTGCCTGCGCTCCCGTCGGCCGCCGCCATCATCCTGAGCATCCCCTGCCTGGCCGCCCGGCTCCCTCCCTCCCGCTCTCTCTCTCTCTCTCTCCCCCCCTCCCCAGCCCCGCTCCCTGGCGGCCACGTAACCAGGCGCCGCGTCACTTTCCCCCGAGAACCGGAAGTCGCGCCGTCTCGCTGTTCCGGTGGTGGTTGCTAGGAGACGGCCAAATCAGGCCTAACTCCCAGGCTTCATAATCATCATCATCATCGTCACCATCATCATCATAATAATCCTGGCGTTTGATACGGCGCTTTTCACGTCGGGAGGACGTCCCAAAGCGCTTCACAGAACACACTGTAAAGTGAATTGACTGTATATATTTGCGGGCGAACGCGGCAGCCAATTGCGCACAGCGATGTCCCACAAACGGTCGTGGATTGAAAATGACCAATTTATTATTGTTTTTGGTTTTGGAGGGATTATTATTAGGCTCTGTGTGGAGTAAGGAAACTTGCCCAAGGTTTCGCTCGGCCGGGAATTGAACTCGGGTCTCTCGCTTGCAAAGCGAGTGCTCTAACCACTGAGCTACAGGACTCCACAAGTTAGGCTTCCTCCTAACTCCCAATTTACTGACAACGCTCTCTCTCCTCACTCACTCACTCACTCACTCCCCTCTGCACCAGGTGGAATATATTTTTTATATATTCGGATAAATATATGTGTATAAATAATAATCCTCGCAGCATTTGATACGGCGTCTTAACACAGCGTTGAGGCGTCTCAAAGCGCTTCACAAGGATTTACCGCGAAGCGAATTGACTATGTTCTTGCGGGCGAAATGCGGCAGCCAATTGCGTGCGGCGGCGACCCACAAACAGTCGTGGATTGAGTAACCACATTTTTAATATGTTATTCTTGGAAGGGTTTATTATCACAGGAAAGCGATCTGCCAATTGCCTAACAACTGGATTCCTACTTACCGCTTGGTAAACAGAGGCGTGTGAGGTAAGGAAAGTTGCCTAAGGTTTCGCCCCAACCGGGAATCGAATCTGGGTCCTCTCGCTTACGAGGCGAGTGCATAAACCAATATTTCTTACAAACAACAACCCTCACTCCTTTCTCACTTCTCTCTACAGCAAGTGGAATATATTTTTATGTCCTAACAGATTTATTTGTTTTAAAAAATACTTCCCTCTACAGCAATTCTCACTCACATCAATAACAACTCCTCACTCAACAATAATAATAAATTCACGTTCAAAATAAACAGTCACTCCACTTTACAGTGCATCCTGTGAAGCGCTTTGAGATGTCTCAACGATGCGATATGGGTTACATCAATGCAAAGGTTACGTATTATTATTAACTACAAATACACAATCAATACACTTCACAATTCAATCCTGTGAAGCTCTTTAAGATGTCTCAATTGCATAAGGCACTCGACCTGTGGGGGAAACACACACATCAGGACTTTAAGTCTTACAATGAGAGGGAAGCATGCAGTCCTGTTTTGATTTTATTGCAGCAAGAAATCATGTCCTTGAGAAACATCACTTGGAATTGTCTATCCTCCACGGTCACTGGGAAAAGGGGGTAAGCTGCTCCATTAGCACAGAAGAGCTCAGTCCAATGATCCAACGTTAAACGTAAGTCACTATAAATAACTGCTCCTATCCTCGCTGGAGATGGAAACAAGGTAGCCTCGTGGGGGCCAGAAATTCTGCTTCGTCACTGTCTTAATTCCATTTTGTCCTGATTTAAGATGACACCAAATTGAGGGAAATTCTTCAATCCTCGATTAATCTAAAAACCAGTTTGTCAAAGCATTAAACTATGGCAAGTTTGGACGTTGTGCTTGCAACTGGAGTCAGACTGTTCCAAAATTCACTTCATTTCTCTTTTTTCAGACAGCTGTGTGTCTGTCACACATGGAAACCCATCACTGTGTTCAGCCAGGTGTCTGTAACAAGTGAAAACCCATCATCATGATCAGCCGGGTGTCTGACACATATGGAAACCCATAACCATGCTTATGAGTATCCAAACCATAGAGTTCCCACATACATGCCACCTACACATGGAAATTTCCATGTCTCTGGAATGGATTGTGCACTCTACTTGGAGGGACGCACCCTTTTTTTAAAAAAGATAATTCCAGAGAGTACTAGACCCAGGCTGGCAAGAGCAATGTATGCATTGGGGTAAATGCTGGAGTTTAACCAGGTAAAACCACATAGCTCGCCTTTGAGCTGGTAAGCTTCCTGCTGCTTGTTCAGCCAGGACCACCCTACCCGTTAGGGCTTTGACTTGTAGGGTTAACAGGAGCTGAGTGGGAGGATTCTCTGCCCCCAATGAGCATCTCTTCCAAGTTTCACCCACAAAATACACAGTCAATCCACTTTACAACAATAACAAATTACATTTACAATATACTTTACAGTATACAAATTATAATATATTCTGTGAAGCGCTTTGAGATGTGTCAACCATGTGATAAAGCGCTTTATCAAATAACAAAAACTACTTGCATTTATATAGGGCCCTTCATGCACGGCAGCATCTCGGAGCGCTTAACAGTGGCGGAGCCTGACACCAGCTAGGGGGAGGGAGGAGATGACTGTAATGATAATAATCTTTGCATTTGATATAGGACCTCATCACATTGTTGAGACGTCTGAAAGTGCTTCACAGAATGTACTGTAAAGTGAATTGACTCTATAATTTGTAGGTGAAATGCAAGGATTATTTATCTATAAGTCTTGCTGATGTGCCAAGCTAGCCAGTGTGTCTCTTTCTTAAATACAAGCTACAGAGAGAGGAGACTTTCATCCTATCCCTGATCTGAATTTCCCAAACCCAGAGGTGAAAGGGCAGGGTGTGACCCACCTAAATTCAATGAGTACAGACCATGACCAAGCAAGCAGGTGGGTTAAGTCTGTGCCCTGCCCTCTCTTTTATTTGGTTAAGCTCTGGAAGCCATGAACAGAGACGTAGATCTAAAACTGCTGTGAGTTCATAGGAGATGCGGAAAAGACATCTGAGGACACGACACAGTATTCCCAGTTGGACCTAGAGCTGCCAACCTCGGAAATGGGTGAAAACCAGTCGACATCTTCTAAACAGTGCCCGGAACCAGCACCCGGAGAGAAGGCTGATCCTGAGAGAGCATCAGGAAGGATGGAGACATCCAACTTTTTTGTCTGAGAGCAGGACTAAGAGAGAAATGTTCACAGTACTCCAATAACACCACCATCACATGAGGTTTGACAGGTCTCCTCGTTCACCCCAGTGGCTTGTGGAGCTGGGGGCCGTGGATCCTCCACCTTCACGTTGATCTGATTTGAAGCCAGATCTCTGCGATGTGTGGCATCCATGAGGTGGTCGTTGCCACCTATTCCTTCTCTGCGCTGGCTTTGGATGGAGGTCGGACTGAGACCGGTACCAGAGGTCAAAGACCCAGAGAGATCTGGGAACCGGCCCTGGTGTTCGTGTGGTGCAGACGGGTGGAGCCGATCGGGGCTGTTGCCGTGCAGCACCGTACAGGAGGGGCTCACGGAGGGTCTCCTCGCCCCCCCCAGCTGTCGACAGAGCTTCACTCGGCGGTTTTGGAACCAAACCTGGAAATTCAAAATGGGGGGAAAAAGTTTGATCAGAAAGATAATAATACTGTACTTGCATTTGATATAGCCTCAAAGAACTTCACGGGATATATTGTAAAGTGAATTGACTGTATATTTTGCGGGTGAAATGAGGCAGCCAATTGCGCACAGCAGTGTCCCACAAACAGTCATGGATTGAGTGACCACATTTAAATTTTTTTATATTATGAGCAGTAGAAAGAAAACATACGTGTATCCTGGACTCTGGCTGACCGATCAGCTCACCCAGCCACTCCCTCACGTAGATGTTGGGATATCTGTTGGACCCAAACATAGTCTCCATGGCACTGATCTGTTCCCGGGTAAACTTTGTCCGCTTCCTTCTTCTAAACTGTGGCACCGACTCACCCTGAGCATCGCAGAAGGGGATTTGCGAAAAGGGCAAAGTGAACCCTATTTAAAAATACAAACACACTGATCAGGGGGGCGTTATTTCTTCCCCTCCAACTTGTTTACAAGGAAATTACTAGAGATAAGTAATAATAATAATCCTTGCATTTGATATAGCGCCTTATCACGTCTTTGAGATGTCTCAAAGCGCTTCACAGAATATACTGTAAGTGAATTGACTGTAGATTTTGTGGGTGAAACTCGGCTGCCAATTGCGCACAGATAATAGTAATCCTAACATCTGGTACAGAGAGAAACTATTTCCACTGGTGGGGGAATCCAGAACAAGGGGGTATCATCTTAAAATTAGTGCTAGGCCATTTAAGAGAGAAATCAGAAAGCACTTTTTCACACAAAGGGTAGTGGAAATCTGGAACTCTCCTCTCCAGAAGGTGGTGGATGCGGATCAATTTAACTTTTCAACACGGTGGTGGATAGATTGTTGTTAGGTAAGTGTATCAAGGGATATGGAGCAAAGGCGAGTAATTGAAGTTGAGGTACAGATCAGCCGTAATCTAACAGAATGGCGGAACGAGCTCGAAGGGCTGACGTTCCTACTCCTTTATCGCGTATTTTGTGGGTGGAATTTAAGGGTTTGGTGAAAGAGCAATTGGGATGAAAAGATATGGCAAGATCTAATCAACCGGTGGAACAGGCTGGGTGGGGAGAAATGGCCTCCTCCTCGTCCTGTTTTCTATTTGAGGCATAAGGAGTGTCAGCCTGGAGCGTGACCTGACCCAACAACCTTCCCATCCTGAATGACAGCCACAGACAGACTGAGCCAGTCAGTGTGACAGGACTTTGAAGATGTTTTCAGTCTCCATCTAGTGGCTGATGTGGGTGCTGCAGTTTGACTCCCCTTCAAACACAGCCACGTTAACAAATGGCGGATTTCACCGCTGACCAGACGGTGGTGGGTTCTATCCCAGGGCTGTGTATAGTTAGGGTTAGCCTCCTCGCCCCTGAATTTGGGAAGCGGGGAAACCAGCAAGGGTTCCTCCCCACTCCTGATTACTATCTGTCACAAGCGTCATCCCAAATTGCTATATAAAAATAATTA